TGAATATGATCTTGGTCATGTTACGACTCTGTCGTCATCGGTCACAGACCTCATTCGTTCGGCATATGCCAAAGATGAACATTGTGTAGCTTTGCTACGTGCTCTGTGGAGCGAGGAGTTTAACGACTCAGACATTAGATTGTCGGCACGTTTACGTGCGAGGCTACATCGATATTCCATCGATCAAGGCCTGTTGTGCTATAGCACAGATAAGGAGGATACTCCCCGTATCGTTGTCCCTCATGATGAGGAACTGAAGTATCGCATCCTCTATGAGGCGCGTGATCCTGCGGTGAGCAATCATCTCGGTCGAGAAAAGACATATAGCTCCGTGAGCCAATACGATTGGTGTCCTAAACTTTACGAATAGGTAAGCACATACGTGCGTACGTGCGAAACGTGTCAACGGTTAAAACCCTCAGCTCATGCGGCTGCGCCGCTCGCTAGTGTCCCTATACCCTCTGAGTGCTGGGAGTCCATCAGCATGGATTTCATGTTCGGTCTGCCGAAAGATGTGCAAGGCAATACGGGTATTGTGGTCTTTGTTGACCGTTTGAGCAAGATGGCTCACTTGGCGGCTGCGCCAGATACTATTGATGTTGAAGGTACAGCTACGCTGTTTATTGATCGAGTGTTTCGACAACACCGCTTGCCTGTGGCAATTGTCTCTGACCGAGACCCTCGCTTCACTGGGAAGTTTTAAAAGTCCATCTTCAAGGTGCTCGGCACACGTTTGGACATGTCCACGGCGGATAATCCGCAGACAGATGGTCAAACCGAGCGAGTCAATCTCGTTATCGGTGACATATTACGCAATGTTTACGCTAATACATCAAAACGTTGGAGTTCGATGCTCCCTGTTGTTGATTTTGCGTTGAATAATGCTGTTCACGCCTCTACTGGCTTTACTCCGTTCTACGTGAACGGTCTCACACACCCTCGCGTTCCGTTAACGCTACCACTGCGTGGTTCAGGGCTTGTCGGAGGAGAGATGGCCGATAGGCTTGCTGGTATCAGCCCTGCTACTGTTCAGAAACAGGTAAGCTAGTTTCTCGCAGCGCGCTTGAATGTGTTACGACACGTACGTGATGCACTGGCTGATAGCCAAGACAAACAAAAGGAACAAGCTGATGCTAAAGGCAGAGGTTGCATTGAAAGTTATAAGGTCGGAGGCCAAGTCCTACTCAATGCTAAAAACCTACCAACAAATGTAGTGTCTGCCGTCTTCAAGACAAAGTTGCGTCTGCGCTTCATTGGGCCATTCACGGTCATTGCTAAGAAGGGATTGGCGTACACGCTCAACCTTCCGCGCAAACTGCGCACGCACCCAGTGTTCTACGTTGGATTACTCAAGCCGTATCGGGACCCGTCCCATGTGAACTCGGAGGCGCTTGCGCCGGGTAATAGGGCCTTGCCTTCGGCTGTTGCATCCGAGCCAGGAGGTCAAGCTGACCATCCACACGGGCTAAGGCCAACTCCAATGCTTAAACACGGGCTTGCACCGCGTCGAGCGCACTCTGGGTCTTACCCAATGTCTCTTGGAGGCCACTTAGCTCACGGAGCACCTTCTCATGCTCTTCCTTCGGTACCCCGACCACCACCGACGCTGCTCGATGAGCAAGGTACCCACCAGTTCCATTTGGAGAAAATCCTTCAGCGACGTCGTCGTCGTGGCCAATACCAGTATCTGGTGAAGTGGCGAGGGTACCCGGAGTCGGAGAACTAGTGGGAGTATGAGATACCCCTTCGGCAGGACTGCCCTTACGCCGTGGATGTTTTTGAACATCGTGGTCAGGGTCGCATTGCGAACGAGAACGCTTCTCACCAATAGTGGTGGGAGGTGGCGTGTTGCTCCGCACCTAAGGGTCGTGACCCGTGATTGCCATTGTAGCCGGAGCATAACGAGTACGTGTACGCAACTGGCCCCTGGCCTTGAGCTTGGCATACTCGAACCGGAGCTTTCGTTCTAAAAGAACGTCAGCCACATCGGCGCTGGCCCGCAGCGTTGGCACACTGCTAAGGTGCCGCTTGCGGTACACCCAACGGATGAACTGATTGTCCTCCTCCTCGGGTAGTTCGCCAGCGAACAACAAGATGGGCACGCCCTTTATCGGTCGAACTGAAACTCCATGAGAGAGACTCTCAAGGTGTGCCAGGTACTGACCTTGCGTGGTAAAGAATGGTTCGAGATACCTCTCATGTAGAACCTTACGGAATGCAATTTCTTCCGGTGACGTAGCCTCTGGTGCAATTGCCCATGTTGCGAGGCTACGGCCTTCCGTTTGACGGAGACGTTGCTCCACGTCAGGTGTTGCAAACACGTAACCACTCCGGTTCTGAACAACCGCCTGGGTATGAGTGCGATGTAGAGCACGCTCCTTACTCTGACGGATCAGCTGCTGTTGCTCGTCGAGCGGGTTCGTGATGATGTTCTCATCTGCATCTGTTGTATGATGCTGCGCCACTGGCGCGGTCGTATCACCACGTTCAACGAATGGATTCGATGCTGTAAGAGGACTAGCCTCAGGTACAGCGGAGTTGGACTATATCCCGTCATCTCCATGGACACTGGTATCACTACCATAGTCCATATCCTCATCGAAGCCGAGGTAAGAGGAAAGAGTCCGAGACTCGTTGGGTGGCAATGCCATGGTGTTTCGTGTTTAGCAACCGTAAGGTTAAGCACACACACACACACCAACATCTTCGAGGAAAAAGCCGATTGACGTTTGTGGTAATGTCAGTCTGGAGGGGGAGGGTGTAACGGGGGGTACACGTCGGCTGGTAGTCGACGGTAGGTGTGGTGCACACAAGAGAGGGGGTACCCTATAAAGTAATTTTAGAACACAGTGAGTGTATCAATAGTTGAAGACTGATGTCTGTCATCAATTGATTACGAGATCTTTTAAGAGGTTATTTAGGGCAGATTAAATACGTTGTTCTAAGGTGTTCTTTTAGGTTTAACAAAAAAAATTCAGTTCCCCTTTTGATCAATAAGAGACACGTGCCTTACGAGGCGTCTTCGATCGGGAGGACGAAAGCAACGCCTGTAAAGGTAGCTTGTCCTCGAGCACTCTGTGCTGTGATTCTTTTGAATCGTTTGGTCCCTCAGGAACGAGGACCGTAAGCTCTCTGAGCTTGTTGACTCTCTGAGTCGGGTTCTCTGAACCAAACCTTAGCTCTCTGAGCTGTTGACTCTCTGAGTCGGGTTCGTAGAACCAAAGTTGCTCGTGAGAGCGTTAAGTCTTCCTCTGACTTAAGGAGCTGTGTAGCTTCGCTACAGTATCACACCTAGCAACGCACAATCCATTTTCTAGCGCCAATTGCATCCATCTGAATAGGTACGTGAAGGTTTGTAACATAATTCGATTCTTTGGTCTGGGTACTTACATAAATTGGCGAGCTCCACGTTTACCTCTCTACCTCTAGCATGAATGTTGACTGGGTGCAATCAGCATGTGACAAACACTAGCTGCGCATATATTATCAGATAGGCAAACTTGTCTATTCATCCATTGTAAGTTGCAAGATGCCAGAAAGATCTTAAGCCTGGATGGCAACAACAATAGTCAAAAGAGTCCGGTCTTTGTACTGGGCTGGCCACTTACGGTGAAGCTCTCAAGATTTGTCGGACTATGCTGCTGCGAGGGAGGGTTTTCCGCGATGAGTGGTGCTCGTGATGAGGAGCTGAGGCTTGTTTGGCGACAGCATGACCCGCGCACATAGGACAAATATGCGCATAAAGTACGCATATTTAGTTCCTAGGATTGAGAAAGTTTCTCTGACGCGAAGAAGCGCCCAGGCCGACTGTGATAGTTACGTTATGACTGGTTTCCGCGCGTAAGCATGGTAAAGGGGCATCTGGGAAACACCGGACTCACTGGTTATTGCAGTGGTGTGTACAGTTTCCGCGATCAGCATTTCGGTCAATTGCAGGCCCAAGTTGTATTTGTCTTCCCTTCTAACTCATGCGTACATGAGTGCACAAGATTCCACGTCGACTTCAAGTCATTCAAGCATACGCTTTGGCGTTTCACCAGCCACAGCATTGTCATTGAGAACCTTTACTGGTTTATGGACAGAGCGCATGCCGTTTTCGTGTTCCGATCAACTGCTTACGTGCGAGCAGCAAAAGCTCTTGCAATCATCATTCAGCCATCTTTGGCTATCATTCATTCTTAGGTCTTCGCACACCAGGCTCATACATCTTGCACATCGAGTGATGGCTCGCAAATGCGCTAGATTTCGTCAGCCAAAACCTCCATGATGGCACGGGTGCAGCCAACCTGTCGGAAGTTTGTGTCGATTTCGTCAGCGGCTGGATAAAATGTCGCTCTTCAAGTGCTGCGTCGAAGAAAGCAGCACAACCACAAGTATCGACATGGCACCAAGCTTGCACAAATGTACTAAGTTGTGGAGGTGCAAATGAGCGGGGCCCCACCACAAAGCAAGTTTGTGTCGGTTGCTTGCGATGAGTACCAGCGGCACACTGGATTTGCTCGTCACTCTTCGCTCGTCTCGCTTTGCCTTTCCATTGGTCTAGAGTTTGTGGCCACTCCACTTGCCATTGCAGAGGTACACTATGCAACAACAAAGCTGACCACGGCAGGACGTCGGACTTTGCAAAGAGCCCTTGCTTACGCTCGAATTCTTTTCGACACACGTAACGAAACTGCTAAACTCAAACAAACAGTTCACGCTTCATGACACTGAGAGTCTAACATGGACAACGACTAGCTTGAGCGACCGAACCCTTAGATGTTACTGCCACGAGCTACTTAATGTCACTGTTTGACTTGTGAGGGATTGCGTGCAAACACGAAGTCCTGCTGACGAAAATCGTCTCGAGATGGTTTTTCATTGCAAAAGAATCGTTGCTTACTCACCTCAGTCGTCTTGTGCTACAGTCTTGTAGCTGTTGGCACCAATAGATACAGCAGCCGACAGATGACAGACTTGTCAGATTGCTGTGCTGTTACGCCCAAGGACTAAAGCAGCAATCATGATTTCTCACGTTCCTTTGGGCGGGCCTGCAATTCCAGGTAGCAATCACCTATTCAGGGCTATTTTTAGCAAAGTTCGCCTGCAATTATTATAGAACTGGTCGACCAAGTCGAACGCAGGTCCACCTCCCGTGTCCTTTCACGCAGCTTCTGCTTTATCTCCAACAGCGTGTGAAAATAACTCCAGACTCGACCACAACCAATTAGCGATGCACGCTAGACAAAAACGCAGTGTTGTGCCCTTTGTCCCATTTATTCGCCAACGTATCTCAAGCCTTTTCGCTCACTACACGGTGCGCCTAATTGTGATGGAGTCCATGTTTTTCCTCTCACAGCTAACCCCACCGTCGTCATAGCCCATAGATCGCTCTTCATCGCCATTTGCTACATAGTCACTGGAAAGCTTCAGCGCATCGAGAGCCTGCACATCTTCCCGAAACGGAGTGTCCATAAGGCGCAATTGTCCACATCAGTTTCCTCGAGCACATGCTGCTTGCTTGGTCAATCCAATCTTAGCATACCACAGCAAATCGTGCTGCGCGTTTCACCAATTGCGCAGATCAACCGTATCTGTGGCTACCTGGCGTCGAAAAAAAGCCTTGGTGATCCTGTGTTTTTCCTTCCATCGTCGTCGTGTGGTCATCGTGTCGCTTTCATCCACCAACTCGTACTTCTCCGCAACACCCACATTATTGTCCCTGTTCTTCATTTTTCGGAACTCTGCGGCTCCCTTCCTTATCACTCACACCGTCTCACTTTTCTTCTCCAACATCTTGCTTCCTCTCGCATGTTCCACCAACGTGATTGTGCGTCAATATTTAGTCCATTCAGTGCATCAACCAAGCAGCCCTTCTCTGCTCACTTTGTCGCTTTGCTCAATTCAATCTCCAGGTGGGTGCTGTTAGTTCTAACAGTTGAGCTTGCTCGTTATGTCGCCTGTTGGATCGTCATTTGTGGCTACTGTCGTGCATCCCTTCGCATGTTCTCCGTCTTACCCTCTCGAAAATATCATTATCCTCGTACTGTGTTGCGCATCCATACAGACTTTTGAGGCGGTTCGTGATGCGATTCAGTGTTCTACGAGCACAAAACAACATGCCGATTTAGTCGGTGATTAAGTTGCAACTACGATGAACTAAAGGCGACTTGCCACTTACTCTGGCTTGATCGGCGGGTTGACAGCATCATGAATACCCTCTGGTCCGCCCATAAAACTCTCTACGCGCTCCAGGATGAACCTCCAGTTCGCAATTGGCTTTTTCTTCGTCGGAAGCGAAGACCTAGAAGCATTAAGAGGCAGCATGAGCAATTCTAGAACGGTCCTAAGTCGTCAACATATCTTCATACCAGCAGCGTCTGTCATGTGTGCTCCCGACTTCGCTGTCGATACCTTGGAGAGCTTTTCCATTTAAGCGAAGTAACGATCCGACAAAGTGGTCGCCAAACCGTTCCCCAGTTCGAGCGACACCCAGTAAAGCAGACGCTGAAAAAATAGAACCAGCCCTTCCATCCTTTTCAAAGATACTCCGCTTCCGCTTTTGCGACACTGTGCACAATGCGTTGGCTGCTAGTGCTACCATCGGGCGGGGTACCTGAGCAAAAGCGCTCTCCAAACGTACGCCTTTTTCTGTTTGCTTGAGCCGTGGTGAAGGTTCGGAGCCATCATTACCTGACTGCCAATCTTCTGTTGATAGCTCGAAATCCTCCATAATCTCGATTGGGTCCTGCGAAAAACTAACATTCGTGCTTAATTTCTTGTTCACAGCGTCATAAAAGCGCACAATGCAATCATACTTAGTGTTTCGAAGATTCCGCGCATGCTGGGGCCATCGAAATTTCCTACGAGTAGTAAAAAGCACGACGGTAAGTTGTTGCAATCTACCATTCAGACATTTCACTTACTGAGCAAACTCATCCGAGTGAGTCCTGGCAAATTCGAGCGGCGGCCCGACAAGTTTGACACTTCGACGGATCGCCGTCTCCTCGACAAGGGGGATACGTGACGTGATGTTTCGCATCACAAATTTTGCTTGGCTGATGTCACCAGGTGATACCACCTCGTAATCATCTTTATCCTCTGCTGACACGAGGTGCTCCCACTCCGTGTCACTGTCTGTGTCTGTACCACTTTTCGTTGCAAGATCATCGTCTTCCATCGCAATTGCAATGTTTCGCTCGTCTTCCGACACCTTCGTCTGCCAACCATCGCCATCAGTGTTTGTCACTATGTCGAACGAGGCAGGCGCGGACTCGTTGTCCCCGTTCTCGTTCGCCAACGAACCTATCGGTTCTTGTGGCGTCGATGCTTTTGCTTTGCTTTTCTCGTCACGTTGCACTTCCTTCTCTTCGACCTCAATGTCCACATCACGGCAACTATCGGACGTATTTGCCCGCTGTAAACGGCCCGATCCCCCTATTGTCGCCTCCTGACACACGCGTTCCTCCACCGCATATTGGCTTTCACTTTTTATGACATTAGAGCGTATTGGGTTTTTTACACTCATCGCTGGGCTTGGCTTCTCGCTGCGTGGCATTTCGACCACCGACTCACTGCTGTTGCTGGTACAAGTGACGTTTCTGGTACAGCGATTGTGGCCGCTAGCAAACCTGCTGTTCGACCCATTTGGAGTGCAGACGCTACGCTCATCTTGCTCCGACTCGCTCTCGCTCTCCGTCTCGTCGCCCTCTCGGAACGGCTTTTTCACCATCCACTCGACCGCTTTCTGCGTGATCATAGACTGTCAAAGGACTTATGTCGGTTTCTGCACTACAGTTAGCGAGCAGACGCGTCCCAACAGTTGGCGAGCAGAGACCGTCGAAACAGGTAGCGAGCAAACACGGCGTCTGGGCCCAATGGCGCATCTTGGCGTGAAGCAGGGCGAACTGGCCTTCTTCGACGCGGACGGCCGTCCAGCTCCTCCAGCGCCCGCCCGGGATACAGACGATCGTTTGCAAGTATTGCGAGGCGGTTTGCGCACGGCGCTGCTACCTCTGGGACTGCGCCTGCTGCAGACTGCCGATGTCAAGCGCGGCGACGCTTTTGTGTTGGTGCTCGACAACGACCGCACGAGCGTCGCCTGTGTGTCGGCGGCGATGCACTTGCAGTGCACATGCGTCTTAATGAGCGCAAGTCGCGTGGCCTTACTGCGCTACGTGACCGCCGAGACTGGGGTCACCACAGTCGTGACGGTGGACGATGCGACAGTGTCGGTGAGCGTCGCGCGGGGCCACGCGGCACGAGACGCCGCGAGGGAATCCGCCGCAACTTTGTGGTACAACTCTCCTGCAGACGTTCTGCAGCGTGGAGGCGTGTGTTTGCTCACGTCAGGGAGTGTGGGCGAACCGAAAGTCGTGTTTTGCACGTGGAATCACATGCTGCTGCAAGGCGAGTCGACGCACCAGCAGCTTTTTCCGCAGGGACCAGCGCGTATCATCTGCGCCACGTCCATTTCGCACGCGTTCTCGATCAACGCAGTCTTCGCGCTACTCACGTCTCCGCACGACGCGCAATCGGAACTGTGCTTTGCCCCGACGTTTGCGGGGCTCTACTCGTTGCTTGCTCAGCGCAGTGCGCTCTTTACGGTGCTGTACGCGACACCTGGAACATACACCGCCTTTGCCACAATGCCACCAACTGCTCTGCATGCCGACGTTTCGTATTGCGCAGGAGCGCATCTGTCAAGGTCATTGTTCCACAAAATGAGAGACAAGTATGGACTAGTGCTGATGCAGAACTACGGCTCGACAGAAACGGGCGATATTGCAGCTTGGCATCTGCGCGGTAAAAAGGTCGATGCAGAGGTAAATGAACTGGAAAGCAGTGCGATAGAGCGATACGTTGGCAGCGTGTGGCCTGGTGTGCAGGCCTATACTAATGACAACGGCGAGATCGCAGTAAAGACTCCGTGGCAGTCCGAAGGGTATGTAAAGGCACGCGTACTACACCGTGTTTCTGGTGTGCTGCTCACGTCCGACCTCGGCATTGTCGCACAAGATGACGGTAGAGTTGAGTGTATATGGCTACAGGGACGTCGTCGTCCCGAGGTTGAGACCAAATGGCAAGGACTGCGCACGACCTACTCACCGAATGAGATCGAAGCTGTGCTTATTGCACACCCAAGTGTATCGGATGGTCTTGTGCTGATCCAGAATGAAGCGAACCGCGAGCAAGGTATCATTCGAGCTCGTATTGTTCTGCATGACGGTGCTGCAGTTGACGAAGTGGCCATCAAAGGCTGGTGCGTCCAGCATAACATGCCAGCACTAGAGGACGCGCTAGTTGTTGAAGTTGCTAGATTCTTACCATGCAGTCCGGCAGGAAAGCTGATGTATGCCTAATACAAGAACGCCTTACCGATATGCCTAAGATGTCAAGCACTTGTCAGCTTTCTTGCTGGACGAATCCGATGGAGTCGTGATGAGCATTGTTTGCTCGCTACCTGCTGTTTGCAACAGTGTCGCATCTATGTCTTGTCAAAAATAAACAAAGCGAAGTGCTTGACAACAAGCAGTCTATTGACATCGTAAGCAGCCTAGCCCACCGCGCTATAATCGCGTTCGGATCTACTGATGGCCGCATGAGCATCTGCACTGCATTCGCTTGTGTCGATCTAGTGCAACAGTGACATAACATTACCGGACATTTAACAAGTGGGCCAAGCACAAACACGACAGAAGGTACAACAACTTTAGCAAGACGCGGTGTCACGTGCCTGTCGGTTGCGCAAACAAGATACGACGATCTGCGCAGCCGATCTCTCATCTTTGCCACAAAATTGCGTGATCAGTTTTCCAGGCGGTACATGTGGTAGTGTACGCGTCAGGTATTCTGATAGCAATTTGCTATTACTTAACTCGGGTAAATGCTGGTGCCAGCGACTACAAGATAAATGTGGGTGTACCAACAAGTTCGATTTGCAAGAGCTTAGTGAGAGGAATGCCGAAGCAAAGCTTAGGTTGTTAACCGCTACCCCAAAAGTCGTCTGCGAACTCGTGCAGTCGTTGCCCCATCCTGATGCCTCGAAAACGGGACCGCCACTTCATTGGCCCAATTCCGGTATTCCGGAAAGTGAAACTACGATAGTTGCAGTTGTAAGTAGCGTGTTTTGATGACGAGGGTACAAAAAATGTACGAGGTAATTACGAGAATAAAACATGCCCTAAATTATCAAACGGTAAAAATACGCACACCAAAGATGGAGAAAATGAAAATAATGCACCAAATAGTCCAAAATGTACAATACGATACTAATTTACAAATTACAAATGCTGATCCATTTTATACGACCGCTTATGCATTTGCCTCGGATCGTTCGTATACATCTACGCATATCCGCTTCCTTACCTCTCTGCACCACTGCGTTGCAGGATATCGGGATGCAGCGTAAACAGCAAGAAGGAGTGTTTTATTGGCTGGGAAATCTTGGTGTCACGTGACGATAGCGGTGGTGTGTACTAAGAGGTTGGTCAAACTACAGTTGAACGACGTGTAATGCTTTCTCGTCACACATCGCAATGGAGTTCGGTTCCGTGGGTGACCATCGGATCTGGTTGATGGGCTCGTCCGACTTCAACAGGGTGTAGCAGGAGTTCACATGTTCTTTCGACCCCGTCATCTGTGCACAGATATCGTACACAATTGCAGCACAGTCTTCGCCAGCACTACATAGGTCGTATCTTGAATGAGGCGACCACGACATCGAGTTGACACTCTCTGTGTGGTGATCCAGTACGACCATCGGGTCAACGGGGCGACGGCGGTCGATTATCGAGATCTTGGCGCTATCGGCAGCAAAAGTCGCAATGAACCGATCATCCCGCTTGTTCCAAGCTAACCTGAGCAAAGCGGATTCGTCCGTCGTTCTGAATAGAATCGTACTTGAAGCCAAGGATCTGCAGCATTGCACGATATCAGTCACCTATTCCAAAGCTTTCGTGCCAAGAAGACAGGAAACCTCAAATCGAATAAACGCAGTGATCCATCACCGCCCACAGAAGCGAACTTGTCAGGATCGCTACTTGAAAACGCGATGTCGTACACCTCCGTGTCATGGGCAACAATCTGGTGCTTCGGAGACGTCGGTTGCTGCGGCAAATGACTTTGTTTACCCGATATATGCACCGATGCGATTGTAAGGAAGCGGGTAGAGACGTACATTGATGTCCCAGATGGTGCAGGTATTTCCTGTGCTAGCAGTGCCGATAACGTTAGGGTCCACTTCATTCCAATCGAAGCTGGTGAGCGGTGCACAAGCATCATTGATGTTTTTGCGCTGCAACAAATATAGCATCGCAGTCAATCATGCATCGTCATGACTCCACACTGTGTCAACGCTACGGACCTCGGTGAATCTTGATTGCAGCTCAATGGACGAGTCTGATATCCTCCAGAGTCGCAAGAAGTCGGCAGTTGTCGCTAGCAGCTCCACGTGCGCCCCAAGCGAAGCCGGGGACCACATAATTTTGGACGGCGGATACGGGTGATCGATCTCCAATGCGGAAACTACCTCTGTTTTGTTGGCCGTGGGGTGGAAGATCTAGTTCATGCAATGACGCCGAAAACGTGAAGCAAAGAAAGCATTTGCGCCATGAGAACGCGGGTGAAAGAAACGGTCGTCACCTCAATCTTGTTGGCGTATTCGCCGGGGATGAAGGTGGAGGCTGCGATCCGCAAAGAAACAGCGTCCGGTCGCCAGCACAGACCATACAGCCGGTCCTTTGTCGGGTACGTGATGAAGGACCGGTTGCACTGAACCGAGCGCTGGGACGTCGTCACCATCTCCCCTGCCAAACTGTTCGTGCAGATAACGCAGGACTACTGTCGAGCTTCAAATTGAGTCGTGTTCGTTAGTCTCCTCACTATATTTCCAGCAAATCGGATTTGTTTCTGCACTCGATCTACTTTTCCGATCGCGCGGGTTACCGTCTCGCTTGATGGGATGACAATAGCAGAGAGTTATGACTATACGACGCATACAACGACTGCTTGTTGGACTTAGCTAATATGAATTGTATGTCATCATGCATCGAGCCGGATCTACCGTCAGGTCAAGTACTTGCTCGCCGGCAAAAGTCTTACGACATACAGCGTCTCGTCAATGCGCCGCTTGGTGGTCGCGTCTTGGAACACCAGCAGTCTCCACTATCCCTCTCGTAAAACACGCGCTTGGTGTTCAATTGCGGGCTCTTTTCTAGTACTAGACAATCGGATCCTTGTCACGATGCGGGGACGGCACAGCGCAAACGTACCGCCGATAACGGGACATGTAATCTTTATCCAGGCACGTCAAACCGCAACGCGTGAACTCTACGAAATAGACTCAGCCGGTGTCACTACACCTGTCGTGGCCCGACTGACATGCAATATACTGAGTAGCGAGAGCTACCCTCGCTACTCAATGATGAAGCGCCTATCAAATCTAACAGCGCATCTGCGTCCAGTATGCACATCTCATAATAGACGGCCCATGCGGTGCAAACTTTTGTCCCACCCGAGTTCCGCAAAAGCGCACCCGGCATCAATTTGGCGGCTTGCGCGGTACTGCCAATTGTCAGTCATTCCTGCGTCGGTGACTTTGTCAGCATAAGTCGGAAAACCGACCCACTTCTGGGTGTGTACCATCATCCAAGGATTTCACATCATTCCAACGTGACCTAGCAGCAGTCTTTGATATCATCGTTCGCGCCGGATGATATTGGGGATATGGGCATAAAGTACCGGCGTATGGCGGCTTGAAATCGATGCCCATACAGACACGGCTCAATGATTGTCGGAGAAGATTGTCCAGCAATCATACCGACAGATTTTCCAACACTCTCCACACGCTTGATCAGGTCAAATTGACGAAAGTAGTCGATGATACCGATAGTCATTCCAGATAGAGTTTCCTCCTCGCCAGTGTCGTTGTATCGGTGTGTAAGGCCCACAACCATTGAGTAGTCCACGATCTTGATGGAGTTGAGAAAAGCAGTATCATTCTGCACTGCTTCTAAAATGTACCGATGATCCTCGGCGAGTACAGCCATTGAACGACCTCTTGTAACTTCCAAGAAGTTGCCGTCAAGGAGGACACGATTACCATTGTGGAAAGCCTCTGGAGTGTGTCGTGGCTTAGCCATTCGGTTTCGAGCGCTCCCTTTGAGATCAAAAGTCTGCGTAAGCTGCTTTTGGTAAAAGACGTTTTCCATAACGCAGATATAGTAGACCATTTTCTCCCCGGTATCTCTGCGGGACACGGTCGTCTGGTAGAGTCCGACGGTCTTTGACAACAAACTCGCTCGACCGTCGTAGTAAATGCTTGCCACGTACGTGAAGTATGCAGGCAGACAGCCCAGAAAACTCTATCACATTCACCACAAAGTCATGAGTTTGGTGAGTGTTGAGGTCGAGACCACCGTGAATGACAGTGCGCACACATACCTGCATTTCAATCAACGAGATGTGCTTGACAATAAAGCGTCCATCCAACGTTCGATAGAACGAAGCACCGGATTTGCCGCCATTTGTATTCCAGCTTTCCACGTGCGCAATCGAGAATACATAGCTTGGGTCACTACCGTAAAATAACTCTCGAAGAACCTCAAACTAGGTATCCAGTGAACATAGCCACATTAGTACATTCGACCTCATCAAATTGACACAGCATCATGGACTCACTTGTAGTGGGTAGTGCACAATCGTTGAAAATTCCCAGCATGTGCTTGATGATGTCGACGCCGTTTCGCGGGAGGAGAGCGACAAGTGTAGTGGCATATCTTCTGTTTCAAACTTGAACGGCGCGTTCAAAGACGTTTCGAGCGCCGCGCGAGACACGTTCATAGATGTCGCGTTCGCAACATGTGCTTCTTGTTTGTTTTGCACAGCAACTGGCCCAACTGCTTCACTGTGCATGCGAATGTTCCACCCGTCCAGCTCCTCTTCATAGGAAGCTGTTGATAAAGCATACGCGACGTTCGTTATGGGTTTTGCTTCATCAACGAGGACCACTCGAGACTTTGACTGATGGGGGAGGCTCGGGTGGCCAGCAGTGAGCGCGTCAGGAAAGTCAATACTACATTCACTTGCTGGTTCAGACTGGCCAAGAATGTGGCAGAGGTCCCACAGAGCTTTTTTCCATCCACCCTGAAACAATAATACAACGTCAATCGTTTGAGGAACTTTGGAGTAACGTTGGCTATCCACTACGTACGCACCTCTTTTCCATCTTCCTCAGCACTAGAAGCATCGGGGAACGGCATCGTTGCTCTCTCCGATGAGTCGAATTCTTCAAGAGTTGGTGAAGACGATAGCATCACTGCGTCATCTGTGACCGGTTGCGAAGTATGTATGTGACCTAAAGCATCAGTACGCCTTCCACCGGCCAGCGGGTCAGTGCCTTTACCACCATTCGACTCAGTGTCTGTGGTACAAGACGGCAGGAATGACTCTTCCACCACATTCGGTAATTCAGTTGTTGACCGATAGGTAGGGGGAAGAAGCGCATTCCCTCCAAGCGTAAACGACCTACTGTGTGACGCTACTGGGGCCACCTCCGTCGCAAGATGTTTCATAATCGATTCGCGAAGGCGTAGCATGCAGGCAATCCATTTGCACGCCACCAAATACAGTGCCCGCTGAAAAGTGTCGCAAGCACTCAAAACTTCGGCAAGGTCTCCATCAATTAGCGCCAATTTATGTGTGAACACTGCGTCACCGCTTCGTACGATTTTGGAAATGCACACAGCTTCAAGAATCATTCGGGTGTAGTGACCCGAGATTGTGTTCTCAAATGCTTTCACCGCTTGGTTGATCTTTCGAATCTTCTCTCCAAATGTACTGATGAGCAATCCTAAAAGCTCCTTTAGTGTTTCAATACGAGTCGTGACTTCCTTCTTCGCAAACGCCCGCTCGGTTTCAGCAAACGATGCCTTGGTCTGAAGAGTATCATTACTGTGTTTGAACTCCGTGCGGTCCAGACGAAGCGATACTTGCCTCGAGAAGTCAAAGCGTGCCACAGACTCGCCGATGTTAAAAAAAAGCACTCGCGACTCCTTCGAGGTGTGTGTACACGTGCTTGATGGCTTCGGTAGAACGAATCGTTCCGCCTCGGAGAACAATACTTCCAAGAGTCTTGCAAACGAGTACTTGTACACGTACTTCGCCAGCGGTACAAAAGGTGTAACCACAGCATTGCACACACGACACCATCGCGAAAAAGCCAATGTCGGATACCCGATTCCCACCTTTGTTTCGGGCTCACCATCGCTTCTGGGTGTATGAATAGTGGAACGTGGAGTCATCAACAGCGGCAGATTGATGGAGTCCATCGTGCGCGATAGCTCACTAAATGAGTCAAAAGTTTTGTCGGTCGCCTCACTGAAGCTTACGTGGCTCATTTTTGACAAAGAGAATGGTGGTTTGCTTTTGTCTGGCAACTTTTCGAACGAAATCGTTATGGTTCCTGTCCGACAGCTGAACGCGTGAACGTGATCTGCCATTAAATGATTGCACTTGACATTCTATGATGACGCGTGAACAAAGTATGTCAGACTTCAGTTCCCCAAGGCATACACATACGCATATGACTACGGACCTGACATTTTAGGGAGAGCGCTGCCAGTTCTTGGTACAAAAAATTGCCGAACGATATATCGTCATTCGAGCGAGCTGTAATGCGAAGATGTTTGGCTTCAGCGCATTGACGGTAACGAGGATTCGGAGATCCAGGGTCACGAACACGTAGTGTCGACGTCGTACACCAGGTAGCACACTGTTCGTCAACAAGTCCTGCACTTCCTTTTGACGACACCAGCGTGTTCTTGCCTAAGTCTAGATCGGATAGCACATGCGCCTCCAAAAGCAGGTGATACGTCATAGACAGCACATCACGAGTAAGACGCTTCAGTAGGCGCAATGTCTGCTTTGATGGCCCAGTTATCAGCACGGTACAACCGTTAAGTGGATCACACCCTTCAAGGTACAGGTAAGTGTCCGTCCGCATACGGCCCGGCGCCGCAGGTGTCTTCGCGAACGCACCTACGAGGGTCTCCAACGGCTTTTTTGCTCGTCTCTCATCCAGGACTACAGGGCTTGACTTCACAGTAAATGACCGGCAGCTGCCGATAACTTTTTCTGGATTGGCCTTATCCACATGGTCTACAGAAGTCAGAACCTCGGCTCCAGTATGGCGAGCAATTCGGTGCAGTATTTCTTCCTTGACATTGAGAACAATCGATATGCGGCGTTCATATAAGAGCTCTTGGGCATGTCTGGAGACAGCTTTTTCCACAAATATCACATCCGGCTCCAACACCGATATCTTTTCCACCAAAATGGCCATGTAGCGTTTCTCTTGCTCCAGCAGCGTATCCAAGGAGCTCATACGTCCAGCGCTATTCGGCCGGCCGTAGGTTATCCCACAGGCAAATAATAAGATACGAGGGTTTGTGACCTCACGCGCCATTTGCTTGTGGCTCAGGTGCTTGTGACACACGGTTCCAGCCAGCCATTTGAAACCGTAGCCTCGATTTATCTCTGTCGGCACTCTCGCAGTCTTCGCGATGCTTTTCACTTTTACAAGGTTTGCGTAGTTGAATCCACGTATCGAGCGGAAATTCATGCTATACAGCAAATGGCCCGTCACAACAAAAGCCACGTCTTTCAAGGTCTCAACCAAATGATCCATATCAATCGAATCGTGCTCGGACAAATTGTTCCATATTGAAGAAGTTGAATGCCCAATGCCATCGCGAATCTGGTCGTACGCTTTTTGCTACATTTCAAATACCACAATATCAGTGAGTGTCAATGGCCACATCTACCGACAGACATTCCTCTTACCATGTTTGCATCCAAAAGAAGGTCCCGATGTGGAGAGAGGTTGGTGGTATTTAGTGCGCCAAGTTCCCGCTGTATCTCTTTCGGAAGCGTTGAGCCGTCTTGTTTAGAAACCAACTTGTATGGCCACTTGTGATTCGGCACTTTAGCATCGGGTCCTCCACTTTCAATTGTGATCAGCAGTTCCGCGCTTGATCGCCTCGTTCTACTTTGTGTCCGTATATACGACCGCTCGTGACTGTCTATGGCACCAAATTCTTCAAACAGGTAGCTGTATTCTGCTGTAAGGCGCGTCGAGTCTGTTGGCTGCTCGAGCCTTGCTTTACTATCACTTGAGTTTGAGTTGACAGGTGACATCAATGACAGTCGTACCTTGTTCAGCTCAACGGGCGGGCCAAACACGAAGGGCGATGGCTTGGCACATCCGTAATCACCGCTCAGTTGGCAGGGTGAGCTATCAAAATGACTAAGAATGAACTTCCTCGATCTCTCGAGTTCGTCCGGACCATCAGCTAAGCGACCGCTTTCCTTCTTCGTTGTCTCATCACTAGCACCATCGTTGAGTCGGACACAAAATTTACACACTCGAATGGCACCTGGAAAGCCGTGACATGTACCGTCTATAAAGCAGTTGCTGCACTCGTAGCAGAAAATTTGCCCGCATAGTCGGCAATGGTGACGCCGCCGCCATAGTGAAAACGCAGCTGAACAGTCGTAACACACCTGTTTCGAAAGCAAGCTAGATCCGTTACCATGTCCAAAAGGCCAAAAACGATTGCAACATCGATGGCATATCCTGATGTAACGCCCGCCTCACCTTACAGAGGTGGTCTGGCATCCAGTACTGGTTGCTCACCGACATAGGCAACGCGCGTATCTCGACCGGCGACGCTATCCAGATCCAAACCAGTGCACAAATAAATCGTACAGAATCCAAATCAATCAAACTGGATGTATGCAACCATACCCTCAACAGACTCCAGCACGCTTCTGCCCACTGCAACATCGCCCGGCGCCTAGTTGTCCCTCACCACGTAGAGTTTAGTCCCTTTGTAGCATCGGCATCGCCGTGTTTACTGCTATACCATTGAACAGCCTACTTGCATCTCACCTGGCACGTAGAAGCTAAGAAACCAGGCACTGGAAACGTCGTCAAGCTGGAGAAAGGAAAAAACAGGGAACAGATGTCCCACGTTGACACGTTAGTTTCGCTGATTCGTTCACTTCGAGCCGAAGATGCTCTGCCACGCGCACCGCGACGGGTCCTGGTCAAGACGCTGGTGTGGCGTGGGCAAAACGCGCCGATCCGCATCTGTCCTTTCCATAGCGACGAGAGGGAGAGAGTCGCCACGACGCGATCAGAGCTTCGAGTCGCTTTCGATCCGCCTCTTCGTTCGAGTTAAGTCCCTCTATTCCTACGTTTGGGTACCCCTCGAACTTTATTTTGGGCACCACAACACACGCACACACACGCCATGGTACCTGGTCGCTTCTGCTTCGACGAGGAGGTCTTTTCGGCGGAACCCTTTGACGCGGCGGCGTTCCTCGAGGACTGCCGGGCACGATGGCCCATGGGAACGATCGACGAGGACCTGCGGCAATTCCAAAAGGCGCTCGAGAACCAGCTCGTGGCCATTATCAACGAAGACTACACCGAGTTCTTGCAGCTCTCGTCCAAGCTCAAGGGCGTGGACGAGGCCGTCTCGAGCGTGCGTGCCCCAATCCTGGCAGTGGTTGAGCGCGTCGAACAAGTACAGAAAGCTATGGTGCGTTGTTGATGGTGCAGATCCGACGAAGCGCAGCGTGGTGTGGTCTGACCTGTGTGCGTGGTGGTCTTATGTTGTGTGCTGCAGAGCGCCTTGCAGAGCAAGATCCAGACGCAGTTGCAAACTGCAGATGACCTGCGTCAACAGGAGATTGACCTGAAGCTGAGTATCAACGTCCTGGATAAAGTGCTACTGCTGGAAGACTTACTGGAGATAGGATCGCCAGATGACAGCGACGACGACAAGCAGGAGTCGATCTTGGACGGAGGCAAAGGCACTGATATCGACGACGACTCTGACGATGATTTTGAGAACTTTGACCGGGTAAAAAAACGGCTGCATGCACATAGTGTTGCGGAAGGCTGCGCGAAGTTAGAGCGTGCGGCGCAGCTTTTTGTGCAGCTGGACCTGGAGTTTATGAACGGCACACACCTCACCACGATTCAGGTAGGTGACGAGATCAGAGTGATGTGTTGTTTTGCGGTGTTTCTCATGTTTAACGTGCATGCTGCAGAGAGTCGAGAAGCGTCTTGCAGTTGTTGAAGAGACGCTTCTTCGTCGCCTTGAAACGGAGTTTGCGACCGAAATTTTCCCCGATACTTTTTACAACCGTGACCATACCATCAGCGAACTAGCATTGGGCTATTTGTTGAGAGCGTATGTTTTGCTGAAGAAAAGCGACATTCCTGAAGAAATGATCGGGCGTCTGCTTGTCAAGCCGTTTGCGGAAGAAAATCTCACACGAGGAAAATTAGACGGTAGAGTTCGTGGGTCCTGTGGAGGCCTGCCGCGAGTTTTCGAGTGCATCTTGGATTTCATTACCAGCAAGTTTGCGGGCACGCTCGCCCTGTCCGTTTGCCAGGGTGAGGCCAAGTGTTCAGTTGACATACTAGGAAACGCGATCTGGAAGCCTTTGCAGGACATTCTGTCGACGAAATACAGCGTCATTTTTCAGGCAGCTGATCCCGACCGCTTCCACAAAAACTACACGACCAGCATGCGCTTTTTGGCGGATCTCGAAGAGCGTTTCTGCAAGAGTGAGACAATGAGAAGCCGATTTAGGTCCCACGAAAGTGTTGTAGAGTTCAAGGAAAAGTGGAACCTCGACGTGTACTTTCAGCTTCGGGCAACGCAACTTGCTTCGGGTCTTGAGACTGCTTTTGGTGAAAAAAAGCGCGACAAACCAGCCGTATCGGATGTAGACGTCCGCGCCATGTCTGCCACCGCTAGCGAGTCGGCACTGGTTTACGAAAACTCAAGATACTTATGGAAAGCAGTCCAGGACTGCTGGAGTGAACGTGTCTTCCTGCCACCACTACTTCCCAACTTTTGCAAGCTTTGCTTACAGCTTCTCGCGTATTACATTGGAATATGGAAGGAGCCATTATTGAACGCAGTCGAGGTGCTGAACAGTAAGACGAAGGTAGATTTTGGCGCCGTGCCGCTTCAGTTACTGACCACGGAAGAAGACTTGCTGTTTGCTGGAAGCGACTTCCACGTGCTCCACAAGAAGGTCAGTTGGACCGTACACTGAGGCAAATCGTGGAAACATGACTAACGTTTCGTTGCTCGTGTGTGACGCATAGATCTCTCGGGACCTCCTTGTGATTGTGACGAATTACGTGGATACCTTCACAGACGACGGTCAGGCCTGCGTCGCAACGCTTTTCCACGAGGTAGAAGCTCTTGCCACATTTCGTCGTGCTAGTCCTCACTCAGACTGAATACCTTCTTTCGTTACTGTAGCCACTTGCATCGCTTGCGTCGCTTGAAATGAGTTGCTGGTCTACTGCTGTAACAACAGTATCGGCAGAATGCAAGAAGGTGCTCCCAGCGATCCGGTACGCATGTGAGCTTATTCACGATGAATAATGGAGCAAACACTAAGCTATTGCATGTACGACAGCACCGTGAAAGGCCAGTATCAGATGACAAACAAGCCTTCACCTACGATCCCGTCAACATACGTGCCTAACATCATTCGGTACAACTATTCTTTCGTGTCAGAGTGTCACTTATGATGACAGCAAGCGCTCACTCGTGCATTATGGATGTGTCTGCAGACCGATACAAGAATTTATTGCGAAGTGGGGTGCTTACTTTGATGAGGCTAAACGCCAACAACTGCTGGAGGCCATTGTGGAGGAACTTGTAGCTGTGTACTCGACCTTGTCGTCGGAGCTGCTGCGATCAGCGCTGGAACTTGAAGAATCGCTCAAGAATCGAAAACTGCAGCGATATTCTGGGTCCAGCTCGGCGGGAGCCGATAATGCCGTTGCTGACACGCAGAAAATGCGCATGCAGCTGCTGCTTGATCTCGATGAGGTTCAGCGGTAAGTGCTTGAAGCTGCTATAGGCTGGGTTTGGGCGAGATGAACGATTGCCACTGACGCACGTTATTTGCCAACAGAGAGGTCGCGGTGCTCGGGCTGGACGTGACACACTGCAAAGGACTGCAGGCAGCTATCACCAAGCTCAGCAGCTGAAGTCAAGAATGCTGGCAAGTTCGATGCAAATTGTAAGTCAAATACAAGCGTGTGATACCACGTTTGCTGTGATGGTTCGCATGAGCTTTTCCAGACCTCGTAGTCTCTTCCAGGACCGGAGAAGCGGTAACCTGTGAAACTAAACAACGACATTCAAACAGGGCGGAATGTGTGCTATTGTTACCGATGGTGAGACGATGGACGTTGTGAGTCCTGTTTGGTTGCAGTCGGATGCAGTTTGTCTGAAATGGATGCCTCATACTCATTTTGTCTTGACCATTGAAACAACAGAGCTTCGTGACCGAGCAAACATCGCAACGGGACTCGCAAGGCAGCAGATGGAGATTGTGGCAGTTTGATTGGACAATAATTGGTGGTGAGTGTCGACTGCGTCACAACAGAACCGTCGCATGGAAAGTGGAGCAGCGTGGAGTGCGTCACTTTGGCGATGGGGTCTCTGTATCACCGTGACGTCGTTGTCTCTGTGGAAAGTCCTGGAGCTAGCAGTGGTCAGTGGTGGATATTGGGAGCAGCTTTGTCGCGCGAAACCCAAGAAGAACCAGTTCCCGGCTGGGTTTCCAGGACTCGTGGGCAACACGCCTCTTGTGGAACTGACCAGTTTGTCAAAGGCTACAGGCTGCACAATACTCGTGCGAATTTTTGTGTCAGATGATGATGAAGCGCTGATGCTGAAAAGGTTGCTGGTCGTGTGATTGTTGTTGTGCTTGGTTCTTCTCTTGGTGTCACTAGGCGAAGGCTGAATTCTTGAATCCAGGTGGAAGTTCGAAAGACCGCGTTGCAAAGGGCATTGTAGAGGACGCTGAGCGTCGAGGCCTTCTCAAAGAAGGAGGAACGATCGTGGAAGGAACTACGGGCAGCACGGGCATTAGTCTATCGCTGATGGCACGAGGTTGGCTTTGCGACTATTCGAAGTGGTCGATGATTGTGTTGTTGTTTGCGTTGACACACGATGTTTGCGCTGTCAGCGCGTGGCTATCGATGTGTTATCGTGATGCCTGATGACCAAGCGAAGGAGAAGGGCCAGCTTCTGACGCAATTTGGTGCTGAGGTTGTGCTGGTCAAGCCGGCGTCTATAGTGAATGCGAAACATTATGTCAACGAAGCCAAGCGTTTGGCACATAGAACTCAAGGTGGGCAAACTAGATAACGTCTAGCGCATACATGTAGTGCGCTTAAGTGTGTGAGTTGTTGATAACGTTCCAGGAGGATACTTCGCCGACCAGTTCGAGAACACCGCAAACTTCGATAGTCACTATTCCACAACCGGCCCCGAAATTTGGCGTCAGACGAACGGGACTGTTGATGCCTTTGTGATGGCTGCAGGTGAGTGTCACCGATTGATAACGTCTGGGACCGCCCTGGATCATTTTGCATGCGTCTCGTGTTTTGCTTGAAGGTACGGGGGGCACTATCGCAGGGACATCAACCTACTTGAAAGAGCAGAATCCGGACGTGCAGGTGTATCTTGCCGATCCGCCGGGCTCCAGTCTATACAATAAGGTAGCTCTCTTGCAATCATGCAGCGATCTACCGACCTGTCTAATTTACTGTGGTCGCCTCAGGTTCGGAGCAACGTGTGCTTTGCTTCTCAACAGGCTGAGGCCAAAGTGCGTCGCCACAGGTACGAGCATGAGCTTACAGTTGACGACCCTTTGCAGCATACAGACTTGTTCCGGATCTTTTCTCGTATTCGCTGCAGATACGACACCATCGCGGAAGGTGTGGGCATTGATCGCTTGACGAAGAACTTCATACTCGCCAAGATCGACGACGCCTTCATGGTGACAGACCAAGAGATGGTCGAGATGTCTCGCTTCCTGTTGCGGGAAGAAGGCATCTTTGTCGGCAGCTCCAGCAGTCTTAACTGCGTGGCAGCTGTGCGCGCCGCCCGCAAACTCGGACCGGGTCACACGATCGTCACAGTTTTGTGTGACTCGGGCCAGCGTCACCTCACCAAGTTCTGGGACGAGGAGCACATTGGCAAAGAATGGCAACTCGAGCCCAAGGCTGCGCACCTTGAGTTTCTGGACGGCTCTACAGGTCAGCCGTAAGTTCGACTTTCGTAGCTGACGATTGCACACATCGTCGCAGCTGGTTTGTGCATGGGCCAATGCATATGGTGAAAGCGATGCTGTGGTCGAGAGGATCAAAGTGAGGCGAGTGAGACTTCCAGACACGTTTTCTGAAAGGCTCAAATACAAGTTGTGACGATCTTTGGAGCAAAGCTGGCGCCAACGTACGTCTGCGTGGGTGTGGCATCTTGAAGTGCAAAGCTCTGGATCTGATTTCTGCATATGATGTGACTTTTACTGTATATTTGGTCTGCGAACAAGGAATGAATGCTGTCGGATGCTCTGATTGATAAGTCAAGGAAAAGTGCAACCTGCTATGAAGCAAGTGGCCTGCCACAAAACGCCGACTTGCTACATTCGCAGTAAACCCAAGGAATGAATGTGGCATCGAGCCTGCTGCATGCATGTGCAACGGCGGGCATGTCAGCGCACGCTCTGGTGCTGGAGACTCAAGGTTGTTGTGGTTCGGATGTTCATAAAGTGGAGAAGGGCTCATGGTGGATATACAGCAGGAGAGCACGGGAAAAGCTACGCGATAGAGATAAAGGCCACGCCGGAATCAGAGCTCGAGTAGTGATGTGCTTCCAGAGAAGCGACCGTAGCGATGTGTTCCAGGGAAGCTATCCCAAGTTCTCGTCAAGGAGCCTTTTGCAGCAAAGATGGTAGAGTATGCATAGAGCGGAAGGAGTGTAGACATCCATGTGATACGTACGGTGCCGGATGGTTGTTCGGATACCAAGCTCGCGAGCACGTTCTTACATTCATTCCGTCTCGAAACAAACGCTCAGGTGTCTGCAAAGTCAACAGTCTGGCCGTCTGCGTCTCTTATCATCCGGTTACTATCTATAGTGAGCAGCTCATCATTGAGGGCTACAGTTCCTGTAATGCTTCCTCGACCCTCAGACGGCGAAGCACTGTTTCACGGCCAAGCAGCTTAATGGTGTCACCTAATCCAGCGCCAACATCCATGCCCGTAAGATAGTAACGAATCGGCATCAGCACCCTGCAAGAACCAACACCAGACACGCATGTACGTGAGCCTACAACATGATCCACCTTCGCGAAGCACCGTACCTTTTGAGCCCGAGTTTTCGACTCTTTGCAACAGCCTTGATGCTCTTTGTGATACAATCCTGCAACATGCCACTTCATCACTCAAAGCAGCCATTCACATTACAACTGTACCAACGTCGTACCGGCGTGAACTCTTCATCGGAGAGGTTGCGTAGATTCAGCCGGACTTGAGCTACCAGATCAGCCGTTGACTCGTCAATGTAAGTGGCTTTCATGTGTCGTGCCACAGAAGAACGAAGGTCAGGATCGGTAAAGAACGGGGCGCAAAGGGGACCGAACTCAGGAAGAGCGCTCACACGTTCCTAGGAAAAGTAAAGCGAACGAAGAAAGCATCAATGAGGTAGCTGAACCCGTACAACTACTAATATGGTATTGTGACTTACCTTCATCAAATTCATGGCTCGCCAGGTGTAGTCATAGCCAAATTTGTCGACGACATCTATGGTAGATGAGGGCAAGCCTGCTTCTTTGAGGGCAGAAGAGATAGTCGGCAAAACTTCATTCACGACAGCGACCCTGTGCTCGTCCGTTGCTATGTCCTCTGCAAACAGAGCCCGCACATGGCGGGAATTGATCCATCGAAGACGGTCCACATTCACAACCGAGCCTGCTTTGTTCACGTGGTTGATTGAGAACTAGGTCACGAAGTAATTGTACAGAAACATCATTACACAGCCATTTTCACTGCAGCAGAACATAGCCTACGTACATCTTTTTCCAGCTCTTTCATGCTGAATATTTCTTGATTGTTTCCGTCAGCAGGGTTCCAACCCAATAGAGCAACAAAGTTCACGAGGCCACTCGGTAGAAATCCCTTATCCTGTACACGCGAGGGTCCACGGAGAGTCAATGGGGTAGTCTCGTTGCACAGAGCTCAGGATGCAAACACTTACCCGGAAGTCCTCGACAGCAACATCGCCCTGACGCTTTGACAGCTTCGAGCGGTCTTCATTCAGTAGCAGGCCTAAATGTGCCCACTTGGAAAAATTGTCACAGTCGTTCGCGGATACTCAACCGAAGGTCCAGATACCACTTACAGCAGGAGCTTCATAGCCCAGTGCCTTGTACAGAATGACATGTTTTGGTGTCGACGGAAGCCATTCCTCGCCACGGATAACGTGAGTGATACGCATGGCATGATCATCCACAACATTGGCCAGGTGATACGTCGGATAGCCGTCACTCTTCATCAGAACCTGGTCGTCGATGCCGGCGTGGTCGAACTGAATGTATCCACGCAGCAAGTCTTTGACGGCCGTCTTCCCCGCTGGAACCCGCAGTCGAATAGTGTGTGGCTCGCCGCTTGCCACTCGTTGTGCCACCTCCTTCTCGTCCAGAGAGAGACACGCTCGGTCGTACATCGTCGCTTCACCATGACGCGTCTGCGACTCTCGCAGCTTCTGCAGACGTTCACTGGTGCAAAAACAACGGTACGCGTGACCGCTCTACATAAACTCAGCAGTCAGTCGTGCACGACATGGGAACAAAGTGGGCACATGGACAACATCTGCATTACCTCAATCAGCCTCTCAGCTGCCTCCATGTAGAGCGGCAATCGCTGGGACTGGATGTACGGACCGTAGGGGCCTCCGACAGTAGGACCTACAGCACGAACCCACACACCAACTCAGCACCTCTACACCATCCAGTGACTAGTCAAGAGCACGAGCGGAACAGCTGCTCCACGCACCCTCATCCTCCTCGACGCCGCACCACCTGAGACTGTCCACGAGCGCTTCCATCGACCCCTCCACCTGACGCGTCTGCACGACATCGACCGAATATAAGCACATTGACAGTACGTAATGTAGAGCCACAAATGCATAGCCACAAAAAACTCGGACTCACTCTGTCTGTGTCTTCAATGCGCAGGACAAACTGCCCGCCGCAGCTCTTGGCGAACAAATAGTTGAACAGCGCAGTGCGCAGCCCCCCGAGATGCAGAGATCCAGTCGGACTCGGAGCGTAGCGGACGCGCACAGGACGCGGAGGCGCTTCGGCCACAGTCGAGAGGAGAGAGGAGCGCCATGTGGTCAGGATCGACGCCCGGCGTCTCTGCAGACGAGAGAGCATCCGGATGGACCGTGTCGACGGACGAATGACTCGGGTTGTGACCGTTCGCCCGGCTCGGTGTGGAACCGGCGCGAGCTAAGGAAGGGGGACGCCGGTTAGGGCTGGGTTTTGTGCACAAATGCTTTGTAGCGAGTGCGCGGCTGATAGTAGAAACTGCTTTTTGTATCACCGTGACAGAACAAAGCATAAATGCGTGGCCGAGAGGGATAGAAAAATGTAGAAATGACGGACAAAAGCGTTCCCAAACAAAGACCTTTTCTGCAGTCTGCCGACGCATACATAGGCAAAGGACGCGACGCCTCTTGCACTCTGAGCCACACATAAGTAGACGAGCAACGTACTTACGTGTCCACTTACACGGCGCGCAGAGCGGCTGGAGAGCTCACGTCGGAATCTCCTCGTGAATGTCATCGATACGACGTACGTGTCTCGACTCGTGCGCACGTGTCACGCTACGGATGCCAAGAAGTTGCTGTGCTCTCTCGACGACTCGATCCCGCATACAAAAGACGGTTTTTTCGCTAGCATCAGTCTCTGTCTTAAGACGTCGACGTCGGTGCTTCGTGTGCTCTCAACATGTAGCACCGAGTGAGGCGGATCAACGATGGCAACGGACAAGTCTGACGCAGCACGAACGTTCGTTCCTGCTGATCAACAAAACCGCAGCAGCAGCAGCCAAATCAGACGCAAATTTAGATACTTGCGGCTTGAGGAAGCGCGAACGACCACAGCATTTTCCAAGCGAAGTATTGCACCCGGCCAGTCGCTGCACAGTGCAGTGGCATTGCATCCGGCAGCAGAACGATGGCGCCATATGCCCAAGAACTCGTGTACAGAGTCCGTCTTCATTAGAGACCTTTGTGTTGTGGCTTGGACGCCGTCTAGCACCGCTACTTCGACACGACGACAACAATGGTCGAAGAAAAAAGTCCAAACAAGAGCCGGAGCTTGTAGAAGTGGGTCGTTGCTCATGATTCGGATCAAGATCGGAACTCGCTCTCGGAAAGCGACCGCAGCTCACACAGGTCCTGCGTGATGTACCAAGGCCCATTCGAAGTGGTCGACACTACTCTTGATGCTGGAACCGATGAAGCAACGAGGCCAGCACCGTTTCGACAGACTCTTCTTGTCGGCGATCTGAGTCGTTGTCGTACGAGTGCTTGACTATCGCGAGATAGTCTTTCCTGCGCCGGTTCAGCTGGCTTGCAAATTGCGACTTTGACGTCCCTGGCGGTAATGTCGTCCCGTCCTGAAGCTGAGCTGATATCCACTGACGCAGCCGCAAGTCAACAAGATGAAGCACATTTTGCTGCGTTGAAAGGCGATCGCAATGCTACAGACGTTGGACGACAGGTCAGTCGATTGATCAGCACGAGTGCTAGCAACAGACCCACCTGCTGAGTTGCGTCCTCTTGCACCCGAACCTGCAGCAGACGGCGTCTGTGAAGTTCGAGATTCGCCCGCTGAATCAGGGCGTTCATGACATCGTCAACGTCATAGCCGTCGCCCGTTTCTTTCACCTCACTCGTGATCACTTCCCATGCATTCTGACGGCCATTTGGTGCCTCGAAACGTGTCACCATGCGCTCGAATACCTCATCAGCAATTCGCGTACCGGCGTTACGGTCCTTCCCCCGGTTAGCATTCCGCTCACGACATGTTGCCACCGCGACGTTCATGTACAACACACCAAAGCCGCAGTTCACTAGAGATCACCAGTGACATATCAACAACAGTCATAGCCACAGAAATATGCAGTGGACAGGGAATGCCATACAGTCCGTGGCGAGATGGAAATAGCGCTTGCGCTGGCTCCGGTACGGAAAGTTGTCGTCAACGAGCAGCACGAGCCGACGCTTCGACTCGTCTGTCTTGGTAGACGCGTGCTCTTGCAACCGTTCGCTTGCTCGCCGCACCATTTCTTGCTGACTTGTTTTCCATGCTCCAGCGTCAAATTCACTCGGCTGGCTGCTGATCCCGATCTCGCTCACCTGGTGCTCGTAGAGGTCGTCGAAGGACATTCGCTCGTAGATTAGTGATGGCCAAGTGGTGCGCGTGGCAACCAGCTGCTTCACGAGCGTCGTTTTCCCCGCAGCCGGTAGTCCACACACTAGCACAAGAACTGCATTGCTCGAACTGCCGCACATGTGTCCTCAGGAAGTCGACTTTGCAACTGAAAACAAAGTCGAAACGCAGCAGAGTGCGCTGCTGACAGGACGCAGTGTTTCTTGTGCCCCAATTGCCCCTTCACGTCCACACGTGCGTGTCAATACACTAGCACCAAATTCACACAAACCTCGCGCCTCACTCGTCCACTGTCAATTGAGTGCATCCATGAGAGCCGATGACGCATTGTCAAAGACCGCACAATGAATGGCATCTGCGTGGCAGTTGTCTCCTTCCTGACGCTATCGCCGTCACAAGTGCTCACGTCGGTCCAACCACACACCCGCCAGAGTCGCTGCTTTTCTGGTGTCGGCTAAGCCGCCTGCCTCCTCTTCGCGCTCGGAGCTCGCAAGCGCCGCCGAGTCTCTCGTCCCTCCTCCTGCACAGCATTGCTCAAGGAATGAACCCCACCCACCACCGACGCAGCCAAAGCGACTGCAGTGCACTCACCATTCGTTTCTTGGACGCCAAAGCGTCGACGCGAGACTGGAGACGCTGCAGCTCACGCTGTTGAGCGCGATGCAGCAGCCACTTTCGCCACTGCTGGGGCACATCCACCAGCAACGAGCGTACGAGGACACCCGAGAGCGGCAGCAGGACGTTGAACAAAGCGCACAGAAAGCCAAAGAGCGCCACGGCCTCCAGCGTCAGCATAGCCAGCAGCGCCATCTCGTGCGCATCAACGAGAGCAGTTTCGGCCAATCGCAATGGTACAAGATTCGGATTAAAGCCCACTCGGCTGTTATCTCATCGGCCTCGTCGATCGTTCGGATTGCTTCTCTAGGAGATTGCTATAATATGAGCACGAACTCTCGTGTCGCAAAATTACACAACAGGCGTCTCGGTCGACACGGCCTCACAACACCTTCGGGTTCACCGCAACCCCAGCCTGGTGGTAGCCACCCTGGAAAGTTGGCGGAAGATCGATGCTGGCGCCTAGGTCCAGCAACATTTGCTCCAGTCGAGCCACGATCACGTCGAACGAGGGGCGCTCAGCTGCGTCCGACTTCCAGCATTCAGTGATGAGATCGATGTACTCGCTGTCCATGCCCTCGGGGATCGGAGGTCGAATGCCGGCGTTGATGGTCTTGTTGTAAAACTTGATCGGGGCCATTCCTATGAACGGGTTTTGCAGTCCACCGGCGATCATTTCCCACATCACAATGGCAAGACTGCACACAATCATTCGTTGATAAGCACTTGCATCACTCGTTCGATCACACGTGTAAAGAGCGTCAGCATACCTCCAATTGTCGGCCTTGAACGTGTACCCCAAATCTTCGTCCAGCAAAACTTCAGGGGCAACCCTGGTCAACAAAAACAAACACCAACGTCAGTTCCTTCCACCAAACAGGCATCCCCACCCAACTTGTAGGCTCGGGCAAGCACCTTACCATCCAGTTGTGCCGCACTGCGTGAACGCAGTGTCGGTATCGAGCACCTTGCTGATGCCAAAATCGGCCACTTTGACTCGCCAGTCGTCGTCCACCAAAAAGTTGTGGGACTGCATTGTGTACGTACGTCAGCGCACAAATGCAGTACAATAGCAGCAACATACTCTCCTCACCTTGATGTCACGATGGATAATACGCATGGAGTGGAGGTATTGTATACCTCGTGCTGCATCAAGCATCATCCGTACTTTGAACTGTGCAAGCAGAAAAGCGAGACCCGTTAGGAATCTTGCAGATCAAACTATCGAGAAGTACATACCTTCCAAGGAATCGTCTCGAAGTTGTTGCTGTGAATCACTTCAAACAAGCTGGACAAAACAAGCATACGTTGCACGCTTCAGCATGTGCGCAAGTACAACCCATTGTCAACCGCAACAACATGTGTACCTTTTGCGAGAGCAATACTCCGTCAAAATCATCAGCTTTGGGTCCGTGCATGCTCCGATAAATAAAACAATATTTGGGTGCTTCAGTTTTCGGAGCAACGCCACTTCTCGTCTGTAATCGCCGAGGATCTTGTCAGTCAACCGGGCGTAGCGAAAGGACTTCACCGCCACTTCGGCAGCACTATTCTGATTCATCCAGAGCCCGCGGTACACAGTAGCTGCCTTCCCGCAGCCCAACTCGTTCTCCTTGCCGCTGAGTATGTGAATGCTTTCATACGGAATCTCCAAATACTGGTTCTGCGACTCAAGAACTCGCGCCTGCTCCTGCAATGTTGACACATCTTCTTTTGCTAGCTTCTCTGAAATGGATCCTGTTAAGGAGGTAGACGAATTCGCGCGACGGACGGTCTGGCGCTGACTTGTTGGAGACGAAGAATCAGATTCCTCCCTATCGTGGGCAGTACTGTCGTCGACAGCACCTGGCTTGGATTCGACATGCTTGAGGTTCTCACCAGCCTTCCGTCGAATTAAATAATGAGTGACGGACAGTATCTTCCTCAGCTCTGCTTCTCGAGCTTCAACGCCTCGCTGGACCTCGTGTCGCCGTTCAGCTGACAGACTTACTGCTGCAGCACCAGAATTGATCTACGGTCGCACAGATAAGCAGGTTTAGGACATAATCAACGAAACAATCAGCTGCTCGAAGCCATACCGTACCTGCTCAAACAGCTTTGCTAAAACAGAGTTTTCACCATTGTCCTTGTCATCAACGTGGATCTTGTCGCCATGGGCAAGTCCAATGTCGTTTCGAATACTGGCAGTGTCGTCCTCCAACATTAGTGCGGTAGACAGTTGTGAGTCTGTACAAACACGTGTTAGCTCTCAATTGTGAAAAGCAAACGACCAGCTATCATGTTGTTTGTTCGCACAAACCTTTCGCGAGATCCTCCGTCTGCCGAATCCAAACAATGCGCTGACGATCCTTTGGGATACCAATGTGCAAAGCAATCTCTTGTCGAAGCACGCCTACTGAAGCACCGAATGGTATTTCCAAGCATACAGGAGCTTGTGTATCGCCAGTCGCTTGTATACATACCTAGGCGGCAAAAAATGAGGAAAACTGCAACCACTGGACAAAACTTCAGCGCTAAGGAAGCACACGTACCACTCGAAGCAGCATGCAATCGTTATCCACCGCGCGCCTGATTCGCTCCCGAATAGCTTCTTCTGACATCTCCGACAAGGTACTCGCAAAGAAATGTATCTACAAGCATCACAACACTCCGTGAGCTTCGCATCACGTTCCAATGCATCGTAAGCAGCAACGCACATGGTGGGGAAACACACGATAGATGTCACTACCGTGGACATGAGCAGTAACAGCGCGCTGAAGCTTGGAGTTAGATGCAAATGAATCTCGGCGCTGAGGCGATCGCTCTCCATTCGAGCCGGGACCAAACCACATCTCAGCTTCGTCATCCGAAGTCCCTCCGCTCCAACCGCTATCGACGCCTTGCCACGTGACTAGCACGTATTTCGACACAATCCGCTCAGTTCCGCGGTGCAGTGGAACATCCACTCGCAAGTAAATGTACATCGTGCTTCCTTCCTCAAGCACTGAAGTAATTCCGCCAATTCCCTTCAGCGCATACAACCCATTCTGTTGCACCATGAAGCCAAAAGCCAATTCGATGAGCACTATGGTTGACGTAGCCATTACAAATGCCAAACGTACCATTCCCCTTTCAACTACAATCATTCGCTGGGTTGAGCTTTCGACGTCCGAGGTATCATAACCACATACAGCCCAATTAAACGGCGAGGCATCCGATCGAATATCCTGCACAGTGTCCGTTACTTCAGGAGTAAACTCGATATCGTTCGTGACAAAACGTCTCGACGAACTCCGTGGCCGACGTCGCGGGGTCTGCATAAACACCGTTCCATCCCTGGGCAAAACAAAAGCAGTTTCACGGTAGGTTCGAGCAAGTTCAAGTACACGAGCATTCGATGAAAAGATTCGTACATAAGCTCTTCTGGGTTGTGCAACGTAACGTGTGCAACTGCACCCAGGTGTTTCTGCCACCAAAATTGTACAAGTCAGCATCCATCCTTCATGCGACTCTGCAAATACTGATCCAAGTACCCGCTCACCCGAATGACATAGTTGAACTCGGCATACTTGGTTCGGAGATAGATCGGCAGATCTCTTCCTTTCCAACAGAAGGACAGCACATTGGTCGGTGCCGAGTTCTCGTCATAGCAATCAACGCTCGTCAGTCCGTAGCACAGCGACTTAGGCGAGAACAGCTCTGGAGGCCACTTGGACGAATCGGAGATGGTCCCTTGCCCCGACGCAAGCACTCGGAGTGTGTTTCGCTTCTCCCGCTGGTCCTACCATACAACCGTCAACAAAAGGCGGCAGACGTGTCAGAAACCACATGGAGCAACGACAGCCAACAAGTAGCACCGGCAGCAACCAACCGCAAAGGTGAAGATGACCCACGTGGGTGAGTTTTTGCTCTTAATGTCGCGCAACACGCTGTCTACGGGCCCAAAACGCAAGTCTTGCGCCTTGACAGTGCGCACAAACGTGTGCGGCACCTCCATACCCTTGCGCTTCGTGTGAGAGAAGCACAGCATCGTGGCGCTCTTGTGCGTGCAATCTGCAGCAGCTCACGGGCTTCTTGTACGTGGCGCGGGCACTCTCTTCGTGCCGGAGCCTGCGAGATCTGCCACAGCAACGAAAGCGAACACACGAGTGAGTCATTGCAGCCGCATCGGGTGTCGAATGGTATGTTGGGCCTGTAGGTACCTAGGAGTGCGTCGAGCGTCTTGCGGTACCACGGCCAGAGAGAGAAGGCGAGAGCGCTGGCGGCATGCGCTGCCTGCCCTGTATACAACTACTGACTGTACTACGTCCTGTTGCGACGTGCAGATTGTAGAGTCGCTCTGGTCGAGCTCTCATTGGTTCAATTTGCAACGTACAGTCCCTCATTGGACAAAACGTCGCTACAGTCATTGGGTTTCTTTAGTTATAGAAATTGCGGGCAAGTGACTTGCTACAGTTGCACAAGTCGGTCGTCGACATCGCCGCTTAGAAAGTAATTTGCCGGCACAAACATTAGGAGGAGGAGGAGATGTCACAGACATTGCGGACCAAGTCAAACAAATGGAGTCAGTAGATCGTACTCTGCAAAATCGACTTGGACTTAAGTATATTGAGACGGCGGCGCGCATACCGTCGTCGTCGACTTAAAGGAGGAACGCGTAGCACTCACTACCGGCCGCTACGGCTACGCGTTCCTCGTTTCGCAGTCTCACAAAGGTGTCCCTACCGCCACAGCCAGTCGTAGTCGCTCACGTATAGTAGAGCTCGAGCCCCATGCCGTCGTGGATTTCGTAGTCCCCGAGCGTGATGTGGTCCTTGTAGATGGTGTACCACTTCTGGATACGAATCTTCTCCGGGCGCGTGCCAATCTGCGCCGCCACGAGCTTCTTGAGGTCCCCCACCGTGTCGTCCTCGTTGCACTTGACGCGGATCTTCTTGCCCAGGCGGTCGTTCAGGATCACTTCGATCATCGTCTCGCAGGTCAGCGCTAGTGCCGCGGATTGGTGCAAAACGAGCGGGAGGCCATTGTGTCGGAATTTCCTCCAATCACATGGACCGCCACTTTCCATCATGGAGCAGCAGATCTACCGTCACCTGCTCGACGATGTTGCGCTGGACCTGTGCTTTGAGGTGCTGTACCCGTCGATCGAGTAGCGACAAAATGTTGCAGGTACCGAAACTAACGCCATTACGGCTCCCCTACGTGCCATCAGATGCATCGTCAAATCTCAGTGGACGGACTCAGTCTGGAAGAGATCTACGACGTAAAGCCCATTGAACGACCACTTGAATCGTCCGTCGTAGACGAGTGCAGCGTGTTTGTGAGCTGTCCTTACTGCAAACGACAGGTGATGCGCCCATCAGATCGTGTGGTTGGAGTTGAGGAGAGAAGAGGAGGGGCGGGGACCTCGTGCTGATGTGTGTGTTTCTTTGGTGTGCAGGTGCATGCGTCACGTTACACAAACCACTTGGAAAAGTGTTTGACAGGCTCAAGACGGATGGTCACACCCAAGCAACGACAAGACGCAGCAAGAGAGACAGAGCGCAAACAGTTGCAGATACTGAGCAAGCCTCAGCTTTACGGAGCTTACGATGCAATGACCGGGTCCAGGAAAGGTGCGAACAGCTCGCTTGATTTGTGATTTTGGACAACAAAACCACTGTCATCACACACAAACTTGGACCATTGCTTTTCCGTGACGACCTGTTGTCTCCTTATCTACATGTTGACTCAGCTATAGCCTCATTAGACCGCTGACCTTTGTCACGAGCAGCCTCTGCATACGATGGACCGGCGGTAGCGACGGGGCACCGCAAGCATAAGCCCATGTCAGCTGACGTCTTGCTGTATGTCGAATTGATTGGTGGAAGTTTACTTGAGACTCTAGTACATCTCTTGGACGGATTGATTTTGCTAGACTTTGCTCGCTCGGATGACTACACTCATTTGTTTGTCGGAATTGTCAAAGGCTAGTCCAGTTGACCATCGCCTTCTACCTTCTCGTTCGATCAAGAAGGCAGCAATGGATCAATGCAAAAAGGATTGATCTTTGATGGGTTTGACGCGGGCAGATAGACTGTCTTTCTTACGAAGCAAAGTGCACTTCAGGTCCACCTTTCTACACTACTGCACTAGCTTAGTGAGTTGGACTTTCCAAATCTACCTTTCTCTCTCGCATCAAATCCATCGTCCAGCTATCCCTCGATCGTGTCGTATCGTCGTGACCTGCGGTCTGTTGGGACGAGTTGGAGTTATCTCGCGCACCGCCTCTCGCATGACTTGCGACAGGAATCATGACGCGTTGTCAAGAAACTCTTGGCAGAGATCGGCGTTGCTCTCTTTGTCGCAGCTGTATATACCTCTTCGTGGGATTGATGGAGTGATCGCAGCGCATACAGCACGTCAATGCACGTACAGCTGCTCTTCGCTTCCGACAAGCATCTGACCCGACAACCGTGTTGCCAAGTAAGTCGAAGTGATCACGTGTCCGAATCGCAGTGAATGCAGGGAGACACGTTGATGAAGCTCGCTGGATGCAATTTTTGCGCCTGAACGAGAGCCCATCCGTTTGTCGAATTCCAGTGCATCGCGACTCAAGTCTTGAGAGACTTTGTTGCACTTGCAAACTGGTATTCGGCTAGAGTTTACACTCGAAGACGCATGAATGCGGTGACTCGATTCAGGGATATGGTTGCTGCAATGCTGTACTTGCACACTGGCACGGTGGTCGATAGATGCTACGTCTTCATCGATTTCGGTAGAACTTGCGTACTAGCTTTCCCGGAAGGCCACGTTGCAACCTGGCATGACGACGGCGGACGTCTCAACAGATGCGTACTAGGCATTATTCAGCCTTCCCCAAATCATGGGTTGTTGTTGTGTGGGCAGAATGGTACCACAAAGCGCCGGATCGCTATCCTTCAATTGGATGTGATAAGTACCTGGAAAGGATCAAACACGACTCTGTCGAGACAGCTCGCAAGAAGTTCTCACCATTGTTGAAAGACACGCCCGCCAAGCATCCCTCTACGTTCGACCTTCACGTAGTATCATGGATTGCTCACACGCACACCGGACCGAAGGAATGCACGACGGGAAATGGCAAGCAAGGCGCAGTATGTGCAAATCAAGTTACACGGCTTCGAGACTACCAATAGGTTGCCAGTCAAACTTGTGCACCAGCACGCACGTAACGATCGCCGAAAAAAGATGCCAGCATGGTTTGTGTAATGGGCGAAACGCTGCACGAGATGCTCACTGGACTGTCCACTCCGCAAATAACAACTCCGGCAGATCGCACTGTGCTGTCATCGACAAGCCATAGTGGACTTGATTCACAGCAAAACCCTTCCAGATTTAATATCACGCGCGTGTCGATACAGGTAAACGGAATTCTGTAAGGACAAGTTGTAGCGTCTTTCCTGTACCTCGCTACAACAGCGTAAATTCGCTCTCCACGACCTCCTTGACGGGTCAGCCACCATGCTTGTACAGTACACATTTGAGAGCCCCGCGACCGCGCTGCACCGCTACCATCGCCAGGCATATAGCAGCCCCTAGGATGTAAATTCGGTAGCAGCAACACGTCTGAGCTCAGCCTCGCGAAAACATGAATCGGCGAAGCAGTAGCGGGAAAAGCACACGATATGAGCGATAGATACGCAGTGCAAGAAGAGGGAGCGAGGTGGCGAAGGCAGTAGGTGCGCCTCAGATTTTCGGTGATCGGCGCCGCTACTGCCTCGAAACTGCTGACCTGAAAGATCGATCACATCCACCGGACGCAACTTTCGTCTGGACCGTCAAGTGCAACTCGCGAAAGAGAGACGTCTCAACAATTCATCTCATCAGTTATCTGTGTAATAATGTCAGGCAGTGGTCGCTTGTGTCACGTATGACAAGGCTTCCGTTTTACATGAGACGTCATGCATGCGCGAAATATTCGCACCATCGACTGAAATGGCTACCTTTTTTGGTGGTGCGCGCATCTTCAAGCGTTCGTTCTGTTCTTCTTCTTCTTCTTCTTCTTCGGACCATCTGTGCTCGTCACCCGTAAACACTATGGAAAAGTTCAAAATTCAAGTTTGCGCATCCCACGCACGCACTTGGTCTGAGAAGCAGCCATCACTGTCGCTGCGTCCTGACATGAACTGCAGCTCAAACTCGCTCGTGTTGGGTGCTCTGCGTCGAAATGGAAAACCATAGCCGAGAAAGAACCCGTCTCGACGCGAAGCTGTTGGTGTGACAGGGCGGACTGCGTTCTCCTCGCCGTCGTTTGCGCCCAACAGCACTGCTTTGTTGTACCTGCCCAGCCGGTTTTATATGAGAAACGCACGAGGCAGAAACCAGATGCCACTAATGACTCAGCGTCCGACGCGTCCGTTCCCTTTTTTCGCATCGACTGGGCCAGCCGTCCCGAGCGGTGCGAAAGGCACGACCGCAATCGTGTGCAAAACTCACGCCGAGCGTCGACGAAGCATTGAAGGCAGCAAAAGGGCTCTCAAAATATAAAAACACACACACGTGTGCGACGGAACGGGCAGGAGGAGTGTCTAGACCGCAAAGGGCTCCGTGTCCCACCGCTGCGGACACTGTGCCCACACTGCAAATCGACACCTCGTCGGCAAGTTGCACCCACCCCCGCGAGAAAAGGCGGTCAAGCAATTGAGTCTCGACCGACATCACCACCAGCAACAACAACAACAGACAGCAGACAACAGCAACAAAAGACAATAGACAGCAGACAACAGCAACAGACAGCAGACAACAGACAACAACAACAGACAGCAGACAACACGTCTGTCGATCGTCACCACCGCCTCGAAAACAACGTTCGAGAAAGGCCGCACATCCACATCCACACGCGGGTTTCTGACTCGCCTGTTGCGTGACGCCCACATCCGCATCCGACACAAACGCACGACACGCGTCGCTGCCATTGCACTGCGTGAAGGGCAAAAAGACGTCGCAATCCTCTCGAGCTCATCATTTCCAGCCGTCGTCATCACCGCCTGCGACCGCGCGAAAAGGGTCAGTTGCTACTGCTAGTGCCGATATGGACCTCGCGATCCGCGTCAACGTGCGCTACGCGGCCCCCGTCGACTCGCAACTCAAAGACGCACTGCGCCTCTTCAAGAGCGCGCGGTGGGTCCACTCCATCATCCGGTACATCGTCCCGCAGCTCAACAGTGTGTCCCCCGCGGCGCTGCACGTGCTCCAGACGCTCAAGCGCAGTCCCGCCGTCGTGCGCCCGCCACCCGACGGCAGCGCCGCCGTCTGCGTCGTCTGCATGGAAACCCTCACGTCGCCCTGTGCGGAGCTGCCGCTGTGCCGCCACCAGTTCCACGCGCGCTGCATCGCGCCGTGGCTCAAGACCCACAGCTCGTGCCCCACGTGCCGCCAGCAGCTGCCCACGGACGCCTATGCGAGCTACAGCGTCTACGCGATCAACACGACTGTCGTTCTGCAGCAGTCGCAGTCGGCCCTGTCGCCCGCCGATCTGCTCGAGCTCTCGGCCAGCAATCAGGTGATTCGAGCCATTGTGAACGCGCGCGTGCGGCGCAATCCCATCGCCACGACGCGATCGGCGGCGGGAAGCAGTGTACCCATTTTGCAGCCAGCAGCGCCAGTCATGAACGCGAGCGTAGTGGCGGACGGGGCGACTGCTCGTTTGCCCGACGGCGCAGAGGCCATGGGGCGCGTACCAGTGACGCGTCGAAACGCCTCTCGACGGCGTTTTCGAGACCCGGAAAACATGCGACGAGTGGACAAGCGGCGCCGACTGAGTGAGCTGTCCGACGACGTTTCGACGTCGTGATCTGTGGTCGACCGCAAACCCAACGTGCGGTAGCCATAGTTCGTTGCTACGGCTACTGCTACGGCTACTGCTACGGCTACGGCTACTGGTATTGCTATTGCTATTGCTACTGCTACTGCTGTGCCACGATCATCGACCATCGACAGTTGGCAGCGAGTACAGTCAGACTGTGGTACCGACTTGAACCCGGTGCTGGTTTGTCGCAGCGACACAGCCGAGTCGGACGTTTAGCCGGTGTGACACAAAACGCTTATTTAACGATAGAACACGAATCTGCATTCCCTCTCTCACGTCTGTGGTGGACAACATACTGCTGACAGACAAATGTGTGCAACTGGCAGTGCGCTCGCCCCACGTCGCCAAAGAGGCCGTCCTGGCGGATAGCTACGGCCACTCTCATCGAGACAGCAACGCGGGCGTCAAAATCGACCGCTTCGACAACACGCGCATGAGCTCAAATAGATCGGCAGTTGACTCGACTTTCGCATCGGGCGGGTGCGCCACGAGCCAGTCGACAATGCGAATGAACGACGTGACGAGACTTGTGGTTGTAGCTGGCAGTCGACACGGGTGCTGTTGCTTGTCTTGGAAGTGACTCACGACGAACATCACGACGCAGACGACATGGAGCAGCATCACGTAGCGATCGTCCTCTCCTCGACTCTCTTCCGTGAGGTCCTCGTCAGCCATCAACCGCGAACCACTGGCACAGGCCACGGGCAACAGGAACGTCAGTGCACGGAACCACTCGAGCGCGTTGGGCAAACGTGATGTCTGCGATGCCTCTGTGCTTCCGTTCCCTCCCCGAATCAGAATGAGATTGATCAGAATGCCAAGGCACAGTGTCAACGTGGACACGTTGGCGAACTCAGTGTGTCCGTCGGCAATGGCAGCGCAGATTGTGCAGCAAAATTGCATCAGCCGACGCAACACATTGACGTCTTCCGACATGATCGACGCGCCATCCGGTAGCGCACTGAGTTGAAGTAGACCTGGCAGCAAAAAGTGCAGCTGGTCGATGCTGCTATCCGTCTTGTGGATCACCGCAGCGCTTTGCATCATCTGAGACACAGCATCCACTTCGTCGTCCGAGTCGATCTCGTCGCCCGAATCAACTTTCTGGTCGCTGCCCGACTCAAGGTGCTGGCCGTCGTCTTCAGCGTCCCAGGCCAGCAATGGCTTGTAGCACACCATGAACGGGACCAATTGCATCACCAAATCCACACTTGTGTCCGAATCCTCAGCGATCCACGCACTTACAACACGCACACTTGCGCAAATCACGGCATCCAGGTGGTAGACCGATTCTGCATGCGACTCACGCAACTCACGGTATCGGTGGGTCTGAACGTAATCGCGAGCCAGCGCCAGCAACTCCAGCACCACCACAAACACCTGATTGAATGTGCTTTTCATCTCCAGCAAAATGTCGTACGGAAGCACAAGCTCACTGTCGTAGTTGGACACGAGACCGCTTATGATCATCTCGACAACGCCATAACAAACGGGCAACGTGGCGAGCACGCGTTTCATCTCTTTCGTGCGTCTCTCGACTTCGTCGACGGACTCCACTTTCGGCTCATCCATTTGAACCAACGAGGCCTCTACGTCGTCCAACATGAGTTTAATCTGCAGATGACCCGCAAGTACACCGTTCAGTCGGAGCTTTGTCAAGCAACAAACGTCAGAACAACACGTACCTCAATCGACACAAGTTTCAGCAAAAACAGAATGAATTTGCCCCCGGACACGTCCTCAGGTGGAGCTTGACTGCGCAATGTCGTGCCTGGTAGCAACCATGCAGTCCCCGTGTGCCGCATGAGCTGAAAGATCAGTCGCAAGCACTCGTCGCGCTCCTGGTGTGGCCATTTCGCGCGCAAAAATAGTAGTACACCAGTACGGATGTCAGAAAGACACTGGGAGCTGAGAAGCTCCACCGGTGCTTCGCCAGCCTCAACCAGCTCCATGTAGCCGATCAGGATCGATAGCACTCGAATGGATGTGTCCCCGCGCACTCGAGAAAAGTTGGCGCATATGAACTCAAAGTCGTAGGTGTGAATACGTGTCCAGACCTCAGACTTTCTAGCCATCCTGCCAAAAGTGCCCCAGAGGTCCTTCAACAGTGCATTGACTTGCTCTTCTTGTTCCGCGTTGGCTTGCGCAGCGAGGTTGCGGCTCGAGTGTGATCGGCTCAGCTTTTTCATTGCACTAAAGAGACGTCCAAGCATACTTTCGTGCATCATGACCTGCACAAGAGCACATGAACGACTTGACATCAGACGCTGCGCAAGTACTGCGCTTCCAGTGTTTTGTTATATCGCCGCACCTGCTGACCCTTATCGGTCCGTCCCAGGCCTGTGAGAATGCGAACGCTGTCCAGCGAAGACTCGTATGGCATTGAATGCAACATCAACTGATCCAGCAGAAATCTCACGAGCTTGGTCTGTGCGAATTCCGAAGCCACGCTCGGGTCCATGCACAAGCTGGCAGTGCATGCAGTACCACACGCAGAACAAGATCAGAACATTGTGGCAATAGCTGAATCTCAACCTGCCAAGCGTCATCAATCATCGTCGCGCCTCACCTTGCAATCAGATTCAGGCCGAGGCTCTGGAAAGGCGAGAGCGTCTCGACGTCGTCAGGACCTGTGACACCAAAAGTGGTTAGTGTACCATCACAGCACTACTCTATCAGCAGAATCGGTCCATGGGCAGCAGACGGACCTTTATGCTGCAACAGACGCAGGAAAAAGCTCACCCCAACAGTCGAGAGCACTTGTCGTCGAACTTGCTGGAGCTGCTCAGTAGGTAAGTCGTCGAGTTTCGTGACCATGAGCAAACCGGCAAACTTGTGCTCGTCAGTGTTTCCTTCAAGCATTCGCATGCACTGCGCGACCTTTTCCGCCGCCACTTCATCGTTGCTGGAGACTACGGGCGCGCTCGATGTCTCTCCTTGTGTAGCCATTTTCACTGCGACTGGCCACCGCAATAAGCGTTGACAGTCGACACGAAAGTGGTGTGACCACATCACATGGTAGAAAGTAAATTTGTCAATTGTTCAAACGATCAGCAGCAACGCGTTTTTTCGACTTTTCAGCAACAACGACAACAAAGTGTCCATCACATAAAGTCCTCTTCATAGGCGTTGACGCTGCTGAGGTCCGCTGCGGCTTCAAGTTTGTTGTTCGAGTCAACATTGTCGCGGGACATCAGGCTCCTGGCGGTCCGAAACCAAGTGGTGGAAACGAAGTTAGACCGCTTGCCGTCTTCCTTTGTGCACGCTCTATTGCAAGCGCAAGTATCGTCAAACATTTACCAACGTACGAGTAGCTACGCGGCTCCTTCTGCGCCTTGTAATCCTGCTTTTCCTTACGAGTTGCCGCCTCCAAACGCAAGCGCTGCTTCTTGCGCTCCGCTTTATACAGCACTTCACGCTGTTGATGCTCCTCTGTGCAAAACCCATTGTTCAGTTCAGAAAACGACGCATCAAGCGCAATCGCTGCACAGCCATACGACGCACTTTCCAGATCAGGATACAACTCTTGCTTCGTCTTGTTGAGCCGCTTGACGATATCCGTGTTTTTCTCGGCGACCTTGTAATGTCGGACCTGCCACGGATGCGTCAGCAACGTGCCCATGATGTAGGTGTAGATTGCTAGTAGCACTCACTCGCTCGGGATACTTGAAGCCCACCTGGCCAATCTCCATGGATGTTGTCTTTTTCAGGTTTCTCCATTTTGTGTAGCACTATGGATCAAGTTAGTTACCAAACATATCGGCATAACATCCCCAAGCATACAGGATAGATGATCCATGCACTAGTACGTACGACGCTGACGCTTGTCTTCTTCCTTCCTTCAATCGAGTTGTCCTGCGTTATGTCAGTAAGGCAATTCTCTCATTCGGCAGTATTTTGTGTCCTGTGTCCAACGCACTTTGACCAGCTGAGCACATTCCTCCAAGCACGTCGCTGATACTTCGTCCAATGTCGATTGTCCCTGGCCCAATCGAGTAGAGGCAGTTAGCAGCGAGAGCAGATACATATACATATCCAAAGTTGACTGACCAGTGGAAGGCGAAGGTATACGTGTGCGGACGACAAGTCATCGACGTGGAACCTGTAAGAGATACATTGCACGTTGTCAGTCTGTCTACGACATGAAGAATAATACAAGACGTGTTCCTCTTCATACGAGAATGCTGTCGGCAGACGTACCAAATGTCTTCGAGAAAACCATAGCGGACGAGGTCTTCGTTCTCAAACTTATCTTTGCCCATGTAAATGGTGTGGCCCTCTATACAGTAATTTGCCCCCGCTACGTCAGTGATATAGTTGAATAAAGGCGTTCACGTAACGCACCGGCCGACGTGAAGTAGACGACCATATCGCTGGTACAGAAAAAGAAATGGCACTTGTCGCGCGGTCGCCTTGCGAAAAGAAGCCGTCTAAGTGGCTGAAAACGACCGCTTCTCTTTCACGATGTGACGCGCGATATTTGTCGCCCTGGCTCTTTTTCCGTTACAAATGTGCTGGAGCTGATTCCAGGGCCGGGGAAAAGAGAGAGAGACACTCTTTCACGCAAATGCGCTGACGAAGCAACTGCACCAGTGCTTGATGCCATACAAAAGTGACCTCGAGTGTCTCTTCGAAACTCGTCCGTTTTTGCACATTTCCACGACGCATCAGATCTCTCTCCCCCTCTTTTCAACCCAAGTGGATCGATCGCGCGTGGCTTGATTTTGCTGCTCTTGGTTTTAGTATGGCGCGAGAAGACGACGGTCCGAATTATCTCGACAGCCCCTGCCGCTTCACGTCGTCTGTTTCGCAGCGGGCAGCAGCACATCATTTGCGCTTTTGCCCCCGAGCGCCGACTCCTCTTTTAACCTCAAAGCCTCGTCTGCCTACGTGAGCGAACGACAAAAAACGACAAGAGTATGAAGTGTACCCACTCGGTAGCTGCTCTCGCTGCGGCTGTGGCGCTGGTCATGGCCGCAGACGACGACCCGCTGTACCTGTGCGACTCGGACGCGTACTGCGACAAGACGTTCCCCGGCACTGTGTGCATTCCCGTGAACAACTACGGCGACGTCGTGTCCAAGTGCACGCCCAACACGGCCAAGCGCCCCGCGTGTCGCGGCAGTCAGCCCGGTCTCTGTCCGTCGTTCCAGAGCGCCGACATTGGCTACCTCAACGCGCACTGCGTGTTCGTGTCGGAGGAGTACTTGTCGCTCGGCGGCTCCGGCTCTGGCGCGGACGCGAGTCGCCGGCGCCTCGTGACTGTGGCCTCGAACTCGTCCACTGTCAAAGTGGCGTCGAACGCGTCTGCGGAGGCGGCGGTCTCGAACAGCGCGTCGGTGGGCGACAGTGAACTCGCGTCCAACGCCTCTCGCGCCGAAGCCGCCGCGTCGGCCGCTGAAGACGTCGGAGACGACGACGACGCGACGGCCACTGCGAGCGCCAGTGACCTGTTTTCGGCCAAGATCGGCAAAGAGACTGTGAGCGGGCAGTTCATCTGCATTGACGTCTCGGACTGTCCAAACAAAGCCGCTGACCCCAGCACGTGTGAGCCTGTGGCCTGTCAAGCACCGACTTCGAAGGAGGTGTGCACCAATCACGGCACGTGCACGTACAAGAGCAAGAAGCGGATGACCAAGCGCACGTGCATGTGCTACGCTGGCTACGAGGGCGACAAGTGCGAGAAGGAGGTGTCGAACGCCTGTGACGTCGACTGTGGCTCGGGCGGGGACTGTGTGGACGGCGAGTGCGTCTGCAAGGACGGGTTCAACGGCGTCGAGCACGAGGGCAAGAAGGGCAAACCCAACCAGCGCTGCACCCGCTGCACGAACGACCTCGCGTGCCAGAACGGCAACACGTGCGACACGGAGACTGGCAAATGCATCTGTGGCCCGGGATTCACTGGCGACACTTGCGGTGCGACCGAAGACTCGTGCACGACGCGAACCGATTGCGGCATTGGGGCGTGCCAGGTGCTGGCCAACGGATCGTCGGCGTGTTTCTGTCCCACGTGCCAGCCCGCGTGCATGCTCTGCGACGTCGGAGTGAACGCCACGTTTGACTGCTCGACGTGTCCGACCGCCGCCTCTTCGTCCATGCAGTCTTCCAAGCTGCTCGTGTTCACTTCGGTGTTGGTCGCTATTATGCTCGCCAACTTGGTCATGTGAGCGACGAGACGCACTCAATTAGTAGTACCCGTGCAAAGCACCGGCTATCAGGCAACGAAACTGCACGCTGTTGCTTGTCCTAATCTCGTACCAAGGAGCGTTTTGCTTTTTGTAAAGTGTCTTTTTGGCCTCAAAAGACGGCTAAATGTTCGTGCACCTATTTTGTCAAAGTGGCCTCACTTGTATCGGGGTGAAGATGCAAATCAGTTTTGGAGGGGCGTCTGCCACCTCACCAACTCTCCAGCAGCCATTTTTCATCCACAACTACTGGCAACGAGCCTGTTGACGCAGTCTGTCTGTGGTGATCCACTGCTGGCAACTGGAAATTCCTGCAGCACGTATAATGTCTTGTAGCTATGTCGCACGCCGACCAAAAGTCGATCTTTGTAAGTTAAATTCGCACTATCAAGGGATGTGACGCCAGCAACAAGCTTTGTGACCAATGACAGACAGGAGGTATTGGCACCATCCTCATATTTTCTCTCCTTATAGTAGAAGTAAAACGTGCGAATGCAATCTTGAAAGCGCTTTATCTCAATTAGAATTCGACAAAACACAAACGATGAATTTAGGTAGTGCAAAAAAGTAATATGGATGTTTCGTTGACGCAGCGCCGCAGCCACATCGGATGCATACATGCACCAATTGATTTGGAGTTCAAAATAATACACCTCGAAGATAAAAAGCAAGCAAAAGGAGCGAAATCAATAAAAGTACGCACACTAACAATACAGTCTTCCCTCTGCTAAGTTATAGACTTGGTGGAAGGCAAATCTTATAACATAGCAGAGGTTATTCCATAGCAGAGATATGCTGCGGAAAAAACATTAATTTAATTAATTAAAGAATCAAAAACGCAACAAACCTCCAGGCTTCCAAAACCTGTCTGGCACGTGTCACGTGCCCTTTGACGATTTTGTGATTTTGGTTGCCCTACCAGTCTCTGGTGATTTTGCTATCTCTGGTTAAGAAGTTCCACCAACTGTACCTTGCTCACTCACAACAGATGTCGCAGATACGTCTTACCAACGAGCAGAAGCTGCGCATCTGCAAGCACCAGGATGCTAACCCGCGCATCACCCAGACTGCCCTGGCGGCTTGGACAAAGGACGCCTTTGACCTCCAGAAGGCACTTTCCCAGGCAGCGATCAGCAAAATCATCAAAAAAAGGAAGGAGCTTGAGGCAATGGACACCACTAACCTCAGCGCTAAGCGTCCTCGGACTGTCCAGCACCCAGCTGTGGAGGAGGCCGTCGCCTTCTGGGTCTTGCAGTGCCAGCACCGTGGGGTCGCTCTCACTGGAGATCTCATACGGGCCAAGGCTCAGACTTTTGCGGGATCAATGGGCGTCTCGGAGGAAAACATCCGCTTTTCGAATGGGTGGCTCCACAAATTCCAGCAGCGCCACAAACTGCGAGCTGTCCGCATTCATGGCGAGAGTGGCTCAGCAGATATGGGCGCTCTAGAGGAGGGTCTTCCACACCTCAAGGCCGTGGTTGCTGGTTATACTCCACGTGACGTGTACAACATGGACGAAACTGGTAGGTCTGAGAATACAGTACAGTACTGTACTCATTGTACAGTACAGAAGCATCTCAAAGGCTCACTTTCTGTTCAGGGTTGTTCTACAGTATGACGCCCGACAGAACGATTGCCCAGCAAGAGGTCAAAGGGTTTAAAAAAGACAAGGTACATTATTGCTCTCATCTTGGTTTCCTGCGTTTCTCTGACACTAACAACTATTCTAGACGCGCATCACAGTTGCTCTCACGGCAAACGCTGATGGATCCGACAAACTCCCGCCGTTCTTCATTGGACACGCCAAAAAGCCGCGGTGTTTTGAGCGCAAGACAGCTGAGCGACTGGGCTTTCTCTACCGCAACAACAAGAAAGCCTGGATGACTGGCATACTCTTCCAGGAATGGCTGGGAGACGTCGACAAAAGTATGAAGGTAATTTGGAGCATGCCTTGAACATCATCGTTGTGGTACAGTAAATGAGGTTTGACTAACGCGTTGACCACAGCAAAAGGATAGAAAAATCCTGCTTCTCATGGACAACGCTCCTTCACACATTTTTGCTGACCTGGAACTCACCAACATCACGGTCCAGGCTCTTCCTCCTTATACGACTTCAAAGGTCCAAACCATGGATGCTGGGATCATTGCCGCATTCAAGAGGCACTACCGCCGGCTGCATCTGCAGAATGCCTTGGACCGTGACGAGCGCGGAGAAACCAACCTTTACAAGGTTGATCAGCTCACGGCCATGCGTTGGTCGCTGGCTGCGTGGAGCGAGATTTCCAGTGCCACAATCGCCAACTGCTTCCGTCATACGGGACTCATGGACGGTCCGGCTCTGCCGACTGGTGGGGGTGAAAACGAAGCCGGCACTGTTGGCCAGCAGGCCCAGCAGGAGGAAACAGCTGCTGCAGTGGAGGAGCAGCGCGTGAAACAGGATCTTGTTTCGGCGCTGGAAAGGCTCCCGCTCCGCAATCCCATGTCGATCGCTTCTCTTTTCAATCCGGCTGAGGAGGAGGAGACGGCGCATGCGGAGCTGACCGATGCCGAAATCATCAAGCTTGTTGAGGATCCGTATGGGGAGGAGGAAGGTGCTGCTGAGGCGGAGGAGGAGGTGGAAAAGCATTCGAAGGCTGAAAAGATTGCCAGCCTTAGTCTATCCATCGCCCTTCTCGACCTTTCTCAGGAGTCCCATCGTATAGCTCACCGCACCCTTCGCCAAGTCCAAGCTGATCTCCGTAGTGCGAGCACCACTCAGGCCACACTTGATTCCTGGCTGAAGTAGTTTCCTCTCCTCTTTCCACTCCTTTCTTGCAGTGAATAACAAAAAAAAAGGTTCTGCGTACAATATTTCTGCTCACGGCGGACAAAAATATTCCCTCTGACAAGTTGTATTTGGCCCTCAGGCTATTCCGTATAACTCATTCCGTAGTCACCATAGAACGAGGTCGGTGGAGACCGAATCCTATAACTTACCGGAGGTTATTCCGTAGCCGGGGATAACTTAGCAGAGGGAAGACTGTAGATGATTGCATTTTATGATTGTGCTCGTCAAGATCTAAATGATTACAGAAAGGATAATTATTCCTCAGAGGATATATTTTTCTGGACCGATTTTATAACCAGCACGCAAAATATAAACGGATACGAAAGACTCTGCCTAAACTGTTATTGTATCGAGTAGTGAGGTCATTTAAAGTGCAAGCGACATTTCGTCTCGACCACAGCTCATTTCGTGCACTGTGCTGCTTACTCGCCTTTGCCAATACCCTATTTTGTTGTTCACCCCTAGGCTATCTCTTTAGACAGGATCGATGTACGTTCTCATTGGACATTTCTATGTTCTAACAAAAGAACATTCCGGCACATCTACACATTTGACAGTATCAGACCATTGTCCGCACTACTACAACCCGAGACACAGGAGCTATCATCCCAGCTCGTAAGTCGTTAAGCGGCACCTACAGGGGGAACATGGCTTAATGTTAAAGGTAGGAGAAGCACTTCCATCATCGGTAAAGTGCATACCTCTCGATGTAATAGGCCGACACTTACGCTCTACATTCGAGTCGTGCGAGTTCCGCACGTAGAGTCACTCTTTCACCGACATTGGTAATCAATCAATTGATTTCGAACGAGCCCTATGTACACTTATATACCTGTCGCCTGTCTACCACCCAAACCACAGGATTGTTGGATCGTCGCTCTTTATACTGCATTAGTGGAATCGAACGTTCATGAGCTATTTCGAATTATTTTTACTGTAGAAGCCGATCTAAATGGCAAACTTAGGCCGAGGAGAGCCTTCGTTTCATCACACTTAAGCGTTGATGGCCATCTAAACATGTGATGCGTTTACTTGACAAGCAACGATCAAACAAGTCTACGGCGGCGTTCGGCTAGTGACACGGTCGACATTGTCCAAGTTTGACAGTGCACTTTGTAGAATAGTTTGAGGAGAAAGAGGGAATATCTGATCGAGAGGTTACGCTCCATTCCTGAGCTGTAAACGCTCAGGTAGTGTGATGTGTGTCAGACGTTATTAGTTTGCCGCCTAGGGACTCTTTTGCAAAAATAGCTATATATGTGATTGAGAAAACAGAAAGAAAGAGCTGTGATGAGTGTGCGCACTGCATCTACTTGAGTGGCCACATTCGTCTGCAAGTTTCGTGACGAACTTATCGTTTGCTCGACATGAGGTGCAAGCAAATGTGTGGGGACATAATTCGATCCTTGTACGGTCGGCACCTTAGTCAAAGAGACGTGCGCTATGTATCAGCTCGTCATGACGAGTGGCGTTGCTCATCAAGTCCTACAGGCGCACGCCTCGCATCGAGGTGATCTCGCTTCGCAGTTACTTTTGCAACATAATCGAAGTCCATAGCACAGCCGGCGTCTCCTCAGGTCGGCAGCTTGTCACATCGTCATTTTCGTTACGCTGATGCTCTTTGATGCACGCCACGAACGCCACGTGTTGTATTATGGTGTTGTTGTACGTGAGAGCTGCGACACAAAAAGATTGATTGCCTGTCAACGGTGACGTAGACACGCGCGGACGAAACATTGCTATAAACTCCAGATAGGGAGAAAAGAGCGCTACACTTGACTATATTCTACCAACAAAAGTTAGCACGTATCACCATATGTAGGTGACGCCCAATATGAAGATCGCGACCATAGATCGGACGATCTCATGTCGAAGTCTCGGATGCCGCTGTTCGCAGCTCGTCAATACAGACAACAGCCTACGTTGGATTGCTTGATGCTAAATGGTCAATAACTTGATCAGGGTAAAACGCACGGCCTTTTATTGTTGCCATTCTAGTTACCAGCACATCACCTTCTCTTCGAATCAAGTCAAATCCTGTCCATGTGCAGCATAGTTTCGGTCCCCCACTCAGGTTATGGGGCCGCGATTTCGGCAAGAGCCTTAACGGTATCAAATGAGCTTTCCAGCGCCTTCTTGAACTCTTTGCCATCCGAAATGCCACTATCTTTGTAGTTCGTAAAGCTGACATTCACACTTTCGTCATGAAGTAAGTAGCCTACGCCGTAGCCGTGTGGCACCACAGCGCCGAACGAAAAGTATTGCAGGAACGGAGCGGTGACGTTGCTTGACGAGATCAAAAAGTTGGTACTTTCCATACGTACAGGGCTAGCCAGGAACTCGCTCGAAATCCCGTTCTGACTTGCAATCGAGTTCAACGCAGTCAGGTGACGATCGACGCCCAAACCCTTCTGCGCGGTCTCGGCCATCTCCACGTGGCGCCTTACGGCTGTCACGAGTAGTTCGCGCTGAGTACCAACTGCCGCATCATCCTCCACAGCCTTGACGAAAGCTTGAGCTGCAGGAGTTGCTGATCGGATAGTTTCCGTGCGTCCGTGGTGAAAATTGCGCGTTGAGCACGACTCGTACGTGGGAGCGATCTTACCGTGAGTGCGATAAAATGCTAGCTGGAGTGCCATTTGAGCGACGCCGTCCGGACTAAGTTTCCATCGTTTGCAATCCTTCTTGGCAAATCTCTCGTACGCCAAGTATTCCAAGTTGAGATTATCAGAAAAATCGACAAAGTGATCCTCTGCCTTCTTGATATCATCAACCAAGTTGTTTGAAAGCTTCCAGTTGAGTTGCTCTGGTTTAGGGCCACCTTCATACTCCGGCATCTTCTTCAGCGGCGCAAAGCCCGAGTCCGAATCGCGCATGTCGTGCCAGCATTCGTGAAGCCAGCGATTCCAGACTGTGCCATCAGAGAAAGAATGCTCAAAGTTGATGGTCAGATGGCCGTCTGGCTGTACCATCACCTGCAGCTTATCAAACCAGCGGTGAGAACCCTGACCGTGCAGTGACAGGCTCATGCGTTGCTTCGTATCGATTGGGTTTCGATCTTCTAAAACCAGCACGAACAAAGCCGAGTCGATCACCCCGAGCGTATCGGCGTTCGTAGGGTCGTATGCAATCAACTCGCTGCGGATTCGCGCCCATGTATCACGATTTTCAGCCGTAAGCGTCGACAGGTCCACGTCATCATGCTCTCTTTTGCCCGGCGCGTTCAAGATAAAGTCCAGCTGCCTCTCCAGCTGCTTCTGAGACAGCAGCTGCTTGCCATCAGGACTAAGCACGCTGAGTTTAAAAAAGCAATTGCCCTGCATGACCACAATGTGCGTCGCACGCGGGTGCGAGACCAGGCTGTCCATCCCCTTTTTTGGCACTTTGGTCGTGCCAAACTGACGGGCAAAGCCAGCCATGCACTGGTTCCTGTCCTGCTCCAGCTCGCTGGCCTTGACTTTCGCCCACCACTTGACCATCGAGCGCACGAACGCCGCACTTCGACGCAGCATACCATTGAGGTTACCCTCTTTCTCGTCCACGAGGCCGTAAGAGGGGTTGACGTGGATCGGGTTCGGATAGCGTCCGCCCAGGTACATCCTGTCCCAGTCCTCTTCAATGTAGCTAAAGGGGTACGCACGACCCATCGCGTGCTGCAGCTCGCGCTTCAGCAGCAGCTCTTGCAGCTGACGGCCTTCGCCTTTCGCAAAGCTATGGGTCAGTCGTGCGTGCCCGTCCCACTCCTGTGCGCTCACGAGCGGCCGAACGCTCTCGAGATAGCGCTGCACCGTCTGCTGGAGCTGCGGCACGGGCAGGCGCGGCCGGTCAAACTCGTTCGTGGTCAGCATGCGGCTGAACCAGCCGGGGGACTGCGTGCCGGCGGCGGTGCTCAGCGGACGGGCAGCGAGCGCACGCGCCGTTGCTCGGTGCCAGAAAAGTTCGGGTCGGATCATTGCGAGTAGTTCGAGAGTGGGAGCGTTGAAACCAAACGAGACAGAGGGCCGAAACGGACTGCGGATGACGTCGGGGGCTCTGACGTCGACACGGCGGTGTCACTCGACGGGTTTAAGCAACGGCGTGAGACGATCCCCACTTGATTTGACGAAATTAGACCGACACGCTCTCTGTAACGGGGTTACACGTCGACTGGTAGTCGACAATCGGTGTGGTGCACACAAGGTATGGGATCCCCTTTAAAGTGATATTAGAGCACAGTATCAATTGTTGAAGACTGATGTCTGTCAACCATTGATTACGAGATCGTTTGAGAGGTTTATTTATAACATTAGTGAGTAGGTTAATTACTTTGTTCTAAGGTGTTGTTTTAGGTTAAAAGAAGAAATAAAATTCAGTTCCCATTTTGATCAGCATAATGTAACGGAGCAGCCCGTTACATGGAAATTGTCATTTGAGAGATAATGACAATAAAGAATATCATGTTGAATATTCTTTGAACAATATCACCAATAGTGGTGATATTGATGGGTCAACCAAAGAGTCTGCTCATTGGTTGATATCTTGATGATATCAACCCACCAATCGCCGCAAGACGCGCGCAATGAGTGGTGGGTAGATGTAACGGGGCACACCCTTGCGTGAACTTAACGCAAGGGTACCGGTGCCCCGACAGACGTACACAAGGCAAGCGAGGAAGCGGGTAGATAAGGTAAAAGCAGAACTGTTATATTAATATAATTAAGTCTTTAACCACTGTCTCTCTGTTTGACTTAACTTAATTATACTAATCTAACTGAATGTATGACGAAGTCTCGTCACCACTCATTGCGCGCGTCTTGCGGCGATTGGTGGGTTGATATCATCAAGATATCAACCAATGAACAGACTCTTTGGTCGACCCATCAATATCACCACTATTGGTGATATTGTTCAAAGAATATTCAACTTAATATTCTTTATTGTCATTATCCTCTAAATGACAATTTCCATGTAACGGGCTGCCCCGTTACATCACCCCCCCTTAACTGATAGTCACCGTGTGACCATCGAAAATATGGCGGCCACCCGTTGGCCACCATTGGGACAGGGAGCACTTGTTAGGTCCGTTACATTCACCTTCCACCCGACCTCGCATAGTTAACATGTCTATGCGAGGTGACTCAAGACCCGCACAGCCCGGTGCTGTGCCAGCCTCTGCGGCAGACGATTCGTCGTCTGCTGCTCCTTCTTCGCCTGCAGCAACAGGTGCTGCAGGTGCACGCGGCACCACACCGCGTGCGCCTGATGACCCCAACATTGAGGTCATCTACTCTGGCGAGTCAGACGTGTCTGACTCGGGCAATGCTCCAGAGGCGTCTCGCTCACCGGCGACGCCTCAGTATTCGCCAAGGCCACTGCCGAACGAACGGACTCGTGATTCGCATCACAGTCTGTTCGGCAGTGATGATGATGATCAGGGTGGTGAGGAGTCATGATTCCTCATCACCGACCGGCTCGTGCGTCTTCGCACGAGCGTGATGACGATGGCGTAAGCCGTCGTCAATCTGAAAGCCGTGGTACCGACAGAGGTACCACTGTGAAGCGTGATGAGCTGAAGCCGTGGCGTTTGCCCGAACGGCTCATCAATAGCTTGTCTCACGAGACAAGCCAACGCCATCGAATACCCTTATTCGATGAGACTGATCTTCTCGGCTTGAGTTCCAGCGCGAAGAACTTTCGCGCTGAAGAAGACTTGTATCTCGATGTCTTTCTTAGACATCGATGGTACAACGGCAACCAAAAGCGTGACAAAGCATCGCTTTTGACTGCGTGGAACGCGTTCGTCCAAAACGTTAAGAATTTTGGACGAGAAGGGTAACTCAAGAAACTTGAGACGACACATCTCAGGTTCGAAAGGCGAACGCCAACCGGTGCTAGGTACCGGTTGCACTGTTTGTCGAGTGAGGCATACATTCCTTGCCTCACATGGGGAGACCCTTGTGCGAGTTGTGTTGACAACTCGCAGCGTGCACATAGGGATGTGTACTCCCTAAGTTCGCCCCGGGGAAGGGCACACATCTTGGCTGAGATGCGTGACGCGATTGCAAACTTGCAATCCGTCTACAAGCGCCAGAAGCGCGTGTTTACCGATGGGCCCCAGGACCAATCGGATGAGTCTCGTCATACTGGTGGACGAGACCAGGCACATCCATCATCAGCTGGGAGCGGGGCTCCCAGCTGTTCCAAGAGGGTGGATACCCCCGCCACTGGACGAGGTAGCTCGTCCTTGATCCTGAATCGTCACGGTGATTCAAGATACGCTCCACTAGAAAGCGTCGACCACCGTGAGCATCCACCAAAGGATGTGGCGGAGGAGGAAAGACCTCCTCCACATGATTCGGCTCACCATCCCGACCCTTACGAGATGGATCGCGCAATCGATGAATTGCGCGATGACTTGAAGCACGAGCGCGACCGGCGATACGCTTTGACTGATACCGTGCGGAAGAACCGCAAGGATCACGAGGCTCATCGGGCGAGAGACCGCGCCGATTATGCCACAGCGCAGCTTCAGGTCGAGCGGGATGTCCGCTCCCTATTCGGCGAGCTGGCGACAGCCCGCAGGGAGATATCTCGGTTGAGTTCCGAGGTATCATATCTGCGCGACCGGACGGATTGTCTGGAGCGCGAACGCAAGAACTTGATGGATGTTCTTGAACGTGGGGGCTATCTTCATCGAAAGAAGAAGGCTCGTACTGATAGTACGGCCTGAGCCTACCCACGTAAAACGTAGGATGCGTGCGCATCCTACGTGGCAATTCGATCGTGTATACATTGCCCTTGCGATGCAACACTCGAAATGGCCCAATGTAATTCGGCAGTAGTTTACTACTGCCGACACAAGTGACTGCATGTCCAGGTAAGTTTACCGTAGACAGTAGTACTAGGTCGTTAACTTTAAATGAAAGAATATTTGCTCTTCCATTCTTGTCTGCGTTCCGTTTCTGACGGTCCTGCGCGTTTGCGATGGAGTCCTGAACGAAACGGACTACCGCCTCTTGAGTCAGCAGGAAGTTCTCTGATGACTCTATGTTTTGTCTTTCAGTGCGCTTCGTGCGTACTGCTAAGAGATTGCTCTCTTCTTCAGCGAGGTTGTCTTCTTCCTCGCCGGAATAATCGTTGACGATGCTGAATATACCAGCATCGTCATCATCATCCGAGTCAATAATAGCGTCGCCGCTATTATTGAGGTGGTTTTCTTCATCGATGTCGACCTGATCGACATCGGCATCATACGTGACGACGTTAGCGTCGACACGTGATGAGCAAGATCCAGAACGGTTTTTGATCGAGCGAGTCCCTCCCCCCTTTATCCAAGAGTCACACTCTAGAAGAGTGGTCACACGTGGATGGCGTAAACCATTCACGTAAAACGGTGTGTGCTGTGTGGAAGCATGCACCGAATTATTGATGGCGAATTCCACCATGGGTAGGAATTCGCTCCAACTCGAAAACGAGTGGACATATCCTCGAAGGATCTCTTCGAGGACACGGTTCGCACGTTCCGTCTGACCATCTGTTTCGTGATGGTCAGAAGTAGACATCTTCAATCGAGTTCCGAGAGAACGGAACACGGATTGCCAAAATGCCGCCGTGAATCGAGGGTCACGGTCGAAGACGAGTTCACGGGGTAACCCGTGGAGTCTAAAGACCGTGTCGAGAAAGAAACGAGCACAACCTTGAGCCTTGATCGACTCAGCGACAGCAGCAAGATGCACCATCTTGCTGAATCGGTCAACAAACACAAGAATACCATTATTCTTGTGAGCGTCTTCGGGAAAACCGAAGACGAAATCCATTGAAACGGACTGCCAGCAGTCTGTCGGAACAGGCAGAGGCTGCAATGGCGCACATGATGAAGGACTAGGCTTCACCCGTTGAAAAACCTCGCAAGCACGTATGTACTTGCGGACAAACTGATACTGGCGTGGCCAGTAAAAGTCACGACTTACCGTGAGTTAAGTCTTTTCTCTACCACGATGGCCGCCTGTTGAGGCATCGTGACACTCATACATGATGTGTAAACGCAAATCATGATGAGCGGGTACGACGACACGAGGCGTGTCGTCGGCAACAGCTGTATAGTACAGAAATCCGTTGCGTGTACTATACCGATCCGATGAGGATCGGTACAAAGCCGGTAAATCCCTCATGGATTTACTGGATGGATTCACCAGATGATCCATCAATCGCAGAAGATCCTTATCTTCCGCGTATGCCTTTCGTACGTCGTCAAATAAACTTGACGACGGGACACTGACTGACAGTGTCCCAACATTGGGCTTATCCTCACTGTTGATTTGTGCGTCCGGCTCGAAATCGGGCCGGCGCGAAAGCGCATCAGCGACGACATTGAGTCGTCCTGGTTTATACTCCACGGAGAAGTTATACTCCACGGAGAAGTTATACTCCGCGAAGAAAGACAGCCACCTCGCCATCCTTTGCGAGAGGTGTGGGCTGTTTACGGCCGTGCGTAGTGACGCATGGTCCGTATAGACAACAAACGGTCTGTCTCCGAGGAGATAGACGCGAAACTTAGCCAGTGCGTATTTCATGGCAAGGAGTTCCTTGTCATGCACTGGGTAATTGCGCTCAGCTGCCTGCAGCTGACGCGACTGATAACAGATGACGCGCTCCGCGCCATCTGCATCGAACTGCATTAACGCACAGCCGATCGCAAAATCGCTGGCGTCACAGACCACATGAAATGGTCTGTCCTGATCTGCAATCGCCAAGATCGGCGATTGCATCAAGCTTTGCTTGATACCTTCAAAGGAACTCTGACAGTCAGCGTTCCATGACCACTTGACATTTTTCTTGAGCAGACAAGAAAGATGAACAGTCATCTCGGCGTAGTTGCGCGAGTACTTGTGCAAGTACGCCGCTAGGCCAAGGAACTTCCTTAGTCCCTTGACATCGACTGGCACTGGCCAGTCGGTGATCGCCTTGATCTTTT